GTTTCGGCCGAAGAGGGTGACAGCCTTGTCAAAGCTTTGGGAGAAATAAGTAAGTACAGTCTTTGTAAGCTTATTGCGTGGTCCAGTGTGGTTTCCAGAGGCAAATTTCCCACGGGCTTTCTGATTGCCTTTTAGATCAGGGTTCTCCAAACTTGGCAACTTTAAGACTTGTGGACTTCAACTCCCAGAATTCCCCAGCCAGCGGATGCTGGCTAGGGAATTCTGGGAGTTGAAGTCCACAAGTCTTAAAGTTGCCAAGTTTGGAGAACCCTGCTGTAGATAGCTTCACTGAGGACAGATGCTGGGATAGTCTAATGCAGTGGTTCTCAACCTGTGGGTCGGGACCCCATTTGGGGTCGAACGGCCATTTCACGGAGGTCGCCAAACAACGCAGTCCGCCATTTTTTCCCCCTTTTCCTTAGCTGTGCTACTCCCTTTTATTCTCTTGGCTTTTGAAAGCCAATAGAACAGACTCTCTTGAATAGAGTCTAATTCTATTGGCTTTCCAAAGCCAATCGGAATTGTCCAGGCTGTCTCTGCCCTGCTGAGCCCGCCAAGAGTCCCATTCTGCAAACGGTGCTGCACCAGTTGAGTAGTCCTCGGCTTACGACCAGTTGAGTAGTCCTCGACTTACGACCGGTTGGGGGGTCGCGGCATTAAAAAGGTTGAGAACCACTGGTCTAATGAAACATCCCCACCACAATATTAACAACAAAAACAGCTAGGCAAATCCTCTAGCTCCTATAAGTCCTATTTTTAACCATCTATCCTGGGGGAAATGGCTGAGAGTAAATAACCAGCTGGAAAGGAACTCCTCTGGCTGGCTAGCGGACGAGGAGCAGACCGGGCGATGGAGCTTCTCCAGCTTTTTCCTCAAAAGCTGGGAAGAGGGTCCTTGCCCCAAAGCTCCCGAGTCAAGGCAGCTGCCCCCGGGGCCAAGGGCAGAAGCAGCCGGGCAGGGGGCCAGGGGAAGTACGGAGGTGAGAAAGGGATGGAGAGAGCGCGAGAGGTTGGGATAAAGGAGGCTGACTTCCTTCCCCTTTGCCTTCCGTTTTCTGTCAATTGAAGAAGGGAGCAGCATGATGGGTACAAGCATACCTGGGTATTCTATTTAAAACAGGCAGAAATGTGAATTTAAAGAGGAACAGGTGTGGAAAATTAAACTAACAATCCGACCTTTACGTACAGGTAGTCCTCAATTTACGAGCCTACAATTTCTGTTGATAAGTGAAACATTTGCTAAGTGAGTCCTGCCTCGTTTTACGACCTGTTAAGTGAACCACCGCAGTTGTTAAATTAGTCAAACCGTTGTTAAGTGAATCCGGTTTCCCCCACTGACTATGTCAGAAGGGGATCACGTGACCCCCCCCCAGGAGACTCTGCAATCGTCATAAATATGAGTCAGTTGCCAAACGCCTGAATTTTGATCGCGTGACCGTGGGGAGGCTGCAATGGTCATAAGTGTGAAAACCAGACATGTCACTTTTTTCAATGCCACTGTAACTTTGAACGGTCACTAAATGAACTGTTGTAAGCCGAGGACCACCTGTATCCCAAGCAAGGCTGCCTGCAGAGAGGGGGACAATGAAGTCCCTAGGGTGGCCATCATTAGGTGACCAAAGGCCCCCCACTGCATGTCTAAGAGGGGGAGGGCTTTGGTGACACAATGGCTGGCAACCACACACATTGTGGCCCCCCTCCTTGGAGAGACCCCCGACCAAGAGGGGAGGGGAGGGGGATGCTACTTACTGGACAATCTCCGAGCTGCCGGGGGTGGGAGCCCAGGGGCCTATGCTGCGCAGGTGGCTCAGTTGGGATCCCTCGCCACTCAGCAGGCAGGGGAGCGCCATCTCAGGAGATTCCCCCTTCTTTCCACTCTGGCCACGGCCGGGCAGACCCGTGCTGTCAACGAAAAGCAGAAGAGAGCCGCTTGGACACCCAGAGCAGCAATTCCTGCCTGCGGTGCGGGACGAAGCTCCTCTTCCTTGTTGTGTGGATGCAGTCCTGGAACGAAGGGAGCCCCGTCCTGCCCACACCGCCTCCCTCGGGCACCGGCTGGCTTCTTGCAAGGATCTCCCCACCTGCCCTTCCTGGCACAGTGGCAGGGTCTGAGGGCGCGAGCTGGCCTGGCTCCCCAGAGGTCCTACTTTTAAAAAATATGGAGACGGCCACCTCAGATCAGGGGCCAGCTTGCCTTTCCCAGGGAGGCTGTTCCAGGCTTTGGAAAAGCAGAGCCTCCTTGCCTGCCCCCACCCACCCCAACCTGTGGGATCCGTAGCAGTTTCCCCCTGTAGATCTAACTCCTTGGGCTCCCACAAACTACAGGAGGAACCCTGCAGGTACAGGCCAACCCAGGTTTGGTCTGTTCAGCAGCATGTAATGAAAGAAGCTGTCATTTGATTCATCCACAACCCCCGTCTGCTCTCCCGAGATCGAATCAGTCTTATTCCTTAGCTGCTTATTATACATATGTTGTGTATGTATGTATAACATACGTATACACATGTTGTATATAGTATGTTTAGGTGTGTGTCGTGTGTGTTTCACTTTGAGAGCGGGCAACTAAGTTTCTTCCTATTTACCCTAAAACAACGACCCTGTGAGGTGGGCTGGGCTGAGAGAGAGACTGGCCCAAAGTCACCCAGCTGGCCTTTTACCAGCTGGGATGTCCAGAAATTATGGAATATCCACAGAGGTAAGGTAAGTAAAGGACAAATAGGTAAAAATTCTGACCAAGCTATGGGTGAACTGACAGGCAACGAGAAAGTTGAAGGGACCTTGGAGGTCTTCTAGTCCAACCCCCTGCTCTGTCTATTGCCATGGACAGAAAAATCTGTCCATGGCAAAGACCTGGTGCTAATTGATTCCACTGCCAGATCTTAAGTGACCAGGACAAAAACCTGATCCTGCAACTGATACACTTGGGATAGTTGATGAACTGGGGCAGATGTGCGGTTGCCCCACCTGCTCCAGGGTCTGCATCCCATTTCCATGGAGAAAATTTTAGAATTTTCTATGAGATTTGTCTTCTCCTTCGTGTAAGCCTCTACCTATTTGTAAACGTTGTGGAACTGAAATATCTTTGAATTCTATGTAGTACTAACTAATAAATATCAATGAGATGATTGCTTTTTTAAAAAAAATGGACATTGGTTATTAATTAAAAATCTGTAAATCATGAGTCTAGTCTTGTTGAAACATAAATTTCCAATAAATCTATGTAACTCTTAATGCTCTCATTCTATATTTTGAGTTCTTAAATTCAGTATTAATAACGCCAAACATTAAGTTGCCAATCTGATCTTTAGAAACTTGTATTGACCTTATTATTTTATCCTGGCTTTGTCAGTTTGTTAACACTGCATTTGTGAAAAGTGCTACATTTCAAGAACCATTTTGCAATACAAAGCTGCCTTGATCCACGCTTGATGTTGAATGGAGCACAACTGTGCAATACCCTTTGGGGCAGGGGTAGGCAACCTTGGCTCTTTTATGACTCGTGGATTTCAGTTCCCAGAAGTTGGCTCAGGAATTCTGGGAGTTGGTCCACTAGTCATAAAAGAGCCAAGGTTGCCTACCCCCGCTCTGGGGAAACCGAGGCATGTGATTACTAGCCAGCAGCGGGCGAGGCGCAATGAAGCATCTCCCCCCCCCCCCCGGGTTAGAGCAGTGTTTGCCAAACTTGACAATTTTAAGGCATGTGGACTTCAACTCCCAGAATTCCACAGCCAGCATTGCTGGCTGTGGAATTCTGGGAGTTGAAGTCCACATGCCTTAAAATTGTCAAGTTTGGCAAACACTGGGGTAACGGATGGGCCCCTCGCAGGCGGCGGCTCCGCTCCGGCGCCCTCGTGGCCTCCTGTCCCCGACCGATAAGGCTGGCAGCCGAGCGGACAGAGCTTTCCGGCCCCTTTATCTGCGCCAGCCCGGCCCCTCCTGCAGCCCGCATCAGCGGCTGGCCGGCCGGCCGGCGCAACCGCCCCGATCGCCTCGTCCGCGCAAGACTGGAAGGCGCCGCGAGGCTCCAAAAAGGAGAGAGAAGCCGGGCGCCGACGAGTGAAATTAACCGGAGCCGGAGATTCTCCGCTCAGGCAGCCCCGAGGGAAGAAGGGCCGGGCTCTCCTGCCAACCGCCCCGGGGCTCTGCGGGGGATCCGGGGGTGACGCACTCCAGCCCCAACCGCGGATTCCAACTCCCCGCACGAGGGGGAGAAGCTGCCCCGGCCCCGCGGGGCCCCCGCCCAGACCTGCGAGGTGGAAGGGGCGTCGGAGCCCCCCGGGAAGCTGCCTGCCTCTCCCGCGCCGCGCCCTCCGTCTCCTTTCGCGCCAAAGCCGAGGCCCCGCCTATTCGGCGGAGGGAAAGCGAAAGCGAAAGCCGGGCCGTCCTCTGCGCCTGCGCGCGCCGCCCCCTCCTCATGCCTCGCAAAGGCTACAATCGCGGCTCGGGGCGCCAGCCGAGAGTCGCGCGCGGCTTTATCCGCAGCGCCCCCACCAGGAGTAAGGTGGGGTAGGAAACGGGGAGGCTTTCCCTGCGCCCGAGGAAGGTCCCGGTGGCCTCAGCCTCTCCCGGAGGCTTCCGCGGCTTCGTGGCCTCTGCCCGGACGCCGCCGCCGCCGCTGCAAGCGAAGCAGGTTGCACCGAGGGCAAGTTCCCCTTTTGCGGACTCCCGTTGCTTAGAAAGACCCGCTGGGAGGCTCGGTCCGCCCCCCTGCTTCTAGGAGACGAGAACCCCCATTGAGATGCTAACAGGCTGGACGACCCCCGTCCTCGGAACCCATTTCTCCAGCCTTTCCTTCCGGAGCTGGGGGGGGGGGTCTTGTGCAGCGCAGCAGCCGCCTCGCTTGCCCACCTGGAGAGGCTGCGGAAGGACCGGCCCTGGTGCCAGGCACTCCGGACCTGCCTTTGCCGGCGCTTCCCCTGGGCCCCTCTCCTGCCCAGCGCCCCCCCTCTGCGGGTGACCCACCCAACAGCTGACAGAAGTTTCCCGTGCAAAAAGTACAGTTGGCATCTTTTCCTCTTTATTGGTGCTCTTCCCTCTCCAGTCTGGAAATCTTATCAGATGTCGTAAATCAGGTAATCGGTTTAAATAAATAAAATAAAACGCCTTCGGAGAGCCTCTTGATTGTCGCTACCAGCTTGCTTCCATCTGCCAGGCTGGTGCCGGCTGGCTCTTCAGCAAGGGCCCCCCCCTCCGCTTCCTGCCCTGGAAGCCCCTCGGCTCCGCCCGGGGCCTCTGCCAGCCAGCCCTGCCTTCAGGGGTAGCTGTCGGCGTAGGAAAACTTTGGGAGGAAGTACTTGTGCACCAGCTGCTGCATGGCAGCGAACGTCCTTGGCGCTGCCGGCCTCCTCGGGAGGGATGGGAACGGCTGCAAGGTGATCCTGGGGAGCGGAAGCTTCAGGAAGGGGACGAAGCCCTTCATCAGATAGCGGGGGAAGACGATGGGGAAGCAGCAGCCTGCGTGGGAGGAGGGAGACAGCAGGGAAGGAAGGAGCATCACTCTCTCGGGCTGGAGACAGGCTCCTCTCCGGGGCCAGCGTGGTGATGAACCAGAGGCAACAGCGAAGAAGTGAAGAAGTCAAAATGGCTGACCAACCAAAGCCAGCTCTACGGGCAGATCAGCATTTACGGGGTGGCTTTCGACCAGTAGAGGAGAACTCTCTGGCTTCCCTCGGCTTTCTGCTGAAGGAGATACGGGCTCCCCTCCCTGACCAGCTGCCCAGTTCACAGGGCAGCTGGTGGGAAAATCAGAGGGAGCCACCGGCTGCTTTTCCTGCACTGGGGCATTAGATGGCACAGGCTGCATCACCAGAATGCAGCAGCAGCAGCAGCGCCAGGCTTGACCAGGAGGCACGCGGGAAGGTGCCCCTCGCTGTGCAGCCCTCTCACACGCCAGAGGGAAGAAAGGCGGAACCCCAATAGATCGATGGAGCAACCCCAGTACTCACGCTCAGCAACTCTCGTTCTCAGCATTGCGTTGGTTTCTCCTAGACGCAGGATCGCTCGGGACCTGTCCCGGAAGAGCAGGAGCTCGTACCAGCCCAGCGTAGAGTCCAGCAACCGAGGAGGTTGGAGGAGGCCGTGGGCTCTCCCATTCCCTCCTCCCCCCCCCCAGAGGCTGGCCGGATGCCACCAGGGGTCTGCCACCAGCGGAGAGGGGCAAACCGAAGTTCAGCAAAAGGGGCTGCAGCCTTACGGAGAGTGGCCTGTGTGCCCCCCCCACCCATTAATCAGCAGACCCATCTGCTCTGGGACTTTTCTTCCATCCTCCCGACTTGGCTTTTATTTCATCCACGAGCGGGACAGACTCAAGCCGTCCTTCGCAGTGTTTGGGTGGCGCTTTCCCTCTTATCCCAGAACCATCCCAGGACAGCCTCGGGGTGGGTTGGCTTCCTCCTCCATTTCCTACGGGGAAATCTGCCGAGTCAAGCAGGCAGCCAACTTCGCGCCAGTAGAGCGTTCGGTGTTTCCCAGATCAAGAGCACAAGGCGGCAGCGGCACAGAAGCACGGATGGATCGCAGCTCATATGGCCAGCAGAGCAACTGGGGGGACGGGGGGGGCTCCAGTTCTCCTAAGCCAGTGCCTCAAAACTCCTGCCATCCTGGAAGCCCTGCAGAGGCAGAGCTCCCCCCCCCCCAGCGGCAGGAGCTCCTGGCTTGCCTAGACCCTCAAGCGGGCACCTGGGGCACAGCTTGCTCAAATCATATAAAGTCAGAGCTTACTTTTGAAGAGGGGGCAATGCCAAGACCGTGTCCCGGGGGGATTCTGCCCTCAAAAGGACAGCCTCCTTCAGCTCCCTCCGTTCTCTCTCCAGCTGCTTTTCCGCAAAATGCTGGATGGCATCAATGGGGCGAACGGGCTGAAGAAGGAACGAGAGGAATATGGCCGCCCCAGGTCAGCAGGGCCCAAACGGAGCCAGCTGCACTTGGAGCGTTGCTTAGTTTGGGCCTGGGATAACAAAGGCCAATGAGGCAGAAACAGGAAGCACAAAAACCGTGTGAGCCGCTGCATTCTGAACCTAGCAGAACTTCAAATTACTCTTCAAGGGCAGCCCAATGTAGGGTGCATTACAGTAGTCCAGATGAGAAGTGACCCAAGGTGTGGGTGACTTGGTGTGACCGTGCAGGAAGAATATGGAGGGCATTGTTTTATGACAGGGGTCTTCAAACTCTGCCCTTTGATGACTCATGGACTTCAACTCCCAGAATTCCTCAGCCAGGCGGAGTTGAAGTCCATGAGTCATAAAAGGGCAGAGTTTGAAGGCCCCTGTTTTATGGTTATCAGGAGTCCTTGGGGCTCTCTGAACTTGGTTGTTTTCTTGCAGACGTTTCATGACCCAACTAGGTAACATTATCAGCATTGATGATGTTGCCCAGTTGGATAATGAAAGGTCTACAAGAAAACTAAACTCTAGAAAGCACCAAGAACTTCAACCCTGCACTAGAAATATTCTCCTATATTGGTTGATGGTTATTGCACAGCAAATACAGGCGTAGTATGTTTTTTGCCCCTCAAAATGGGGAGGGGGGAACTCTGCTATCGACGTTCAGGAGTCGTGATCCTCAAGGCTCTTGCTTTGCAAAGAGTTTCAAGGGAGCCTCCAGCTGCTCCCACAGGGATGTACCCAGGAAGGGTTCAGAGCAGCCCCCTCTTCCCCCTCACAGCATAGACCACCCACCATATTCCAGCCCAAGGCCCCTGCCATGTTGGGCTGTGCACCATGGGTGGGCTTTCTGTCAGGAAGAGAGGGTTCTAATGGGCACCTGAAGCGACAGGAGTATCTTGAGGGTCAGAGCACAGGGAAGAAGAAGAGGTAGACTCACCTTTTGGTGGTCTTCCAAGCTGGGCTTCCCCTGCCGCTCCTCCTCGCTGTCCATCTCGTCCTGAGTAGGAAGACAAGATAGTAAGAGCCCATCTTTTCCGTTTTTCATCCCCTTCCGACAGCCAATTGGAGATGCCAGGTGGAATAAAGGAAGCCCCCTTGGGTGAGACAGGGCCATCACCCTGGACAGCTTGGAAAGCAACAGACTGTTAGGTGGTCCAGAGCACCGTTGGGTTAGGCCAGTCATGGCAAACCTATGGCACGCATGCCAGAGGCGGCACACAGAGCCCTCTCTGTGGGCACGTGCCATCGCCCCAGCATACGTGGTCTCTAAAAGTTCGCCATCACTGGTCTAAGGCCAGCCAGCCTGGAGCCGCCATTGGAGAGTCCACAATCCCACCCACCAGAGACCCCCTGGTTCTCCCCCAACCCTGCCCGGCTCCCACAGTTGTCCCTCCCCATAAGCAACATCAAGGTGGCCACGCCCACCCTGGCCATTCCCACCCAATCTGCCATGACTACTTCAGCCACACCCATCCAGTGGCCACGCTCACCCAGTCTGCCAAGCCCACTATAACTGCACTCGCCTACTGGATTGGGGTTGCAGTTTGGGCACTCGGTCTCTAAAAGGTTTGCCATCACTGGGTTAGGCATAATCACGGAGAAAATCTAGAACAGGGGTCTTCAAACTTGGCCCTTTGATGACTTGTGGACTTCAACTCCCAGAATTCGTCAGCCAGGCACGCGTGCCTGGCTGACGAATTCTGGGAGTTGAAGTCCACAAGTCATCAAAGGGCCAAGTTTGAAGACCCCTATTCTAGAAGTCAAAAACAGCTTCGGGGCACATAATCAAATGACAAACTGCACATACAGAAAGTCAATGGCCATTCCAAGTTATTGACAGCACTGAATGAATGGTGATTATGTCAGAGCTCTGGCCATCCCAGCCCTCCCCGGTCACAAGATCATAATCTAGATGGTTGGCAGCCTGTTTGTACTTACAACCAGTTGCCGAGCACCTCACAATCCCTTGATCGACGTTTGCAACCTTCCCTGCTGGCTTCCTCAGTAAGTCAATGGGGAAGCCAGCAGGGAAGGTCAGCAGTTGCTGTTACCTCCTCCACCCATGCACCACCCCAGCCCCTGGCACTTGCTCCACACCAACCAGTTGTGCACCCTCCCTCTTGTGCAACATGTGGTACCTCTTACGCATCCTCCTTCACTTGCACAGCACCTGTCATGCACCCTCCCGATCAGGGCAGCACCTCTCATGTGCCCCCAATCCACAGAGCGCCTCACATGCACCCCATCAAGAGGGTGAACAAGAGGTGCCACAGCTCACAGAGTACACTAAGCCTCTGGTGCACTCTCCCTGAGTCTGGCACCTCTTGTTCACCCCCTCTTTTGCACCATCTTCGACCCTCCACAATCCACGTGGCACCTCTTGTGCAACCTTGCGCACTCTCCCCAGCCCTCAGAATGCCTCACGCACCCCCTTGCAACGTCCTCAATCTTTGCACCTTCTCTGATCCTTGTGTACCCCTCCCCTCCTGTGCTCCCCCACACTTCCCCTCGCTCCGTCCCCCACCTGGCAGCAGCCACTTATTTGCCTGTTGGGCTGAGACCCTCAACTTCCTGCTGGCTTCCCCACTGACTTTGTTGGATGCGAAAGAGGAAGTGAAGGTTGGTCCTGCAAGAGCAGGTGTGGGAGGCCGGGTGGTGGTCCTCACAGCAGGCCATCCACTGTGCAGCCGATCAGAGGTTATCCAGGACCCCACATCTCCTCCCATGCTTTCTGCCCCAGCCTCAAGGGAAGGCCAAGCCTTACCTTGTGGACAGCCTTGGCCCCCTTTCCAGCGATCTTCCTGGCTTTCTTGCGGCTCTTCTCTGGCCTCTTTCTTTCCAGGGTCAAAAGAGTGGTGGTCTGCAAGTTCAGAAGCCCCCAACTCAGATGCTTCTATATAAGTGATACGGTCTCTATGTGTGGCGGTGCCCTTGGGCTGTTTCCACAAGAGACCCAGGGAGACGGTCTCTTCCTTGGGGACTTTTGCGTTGCCCGAGGCTGGCTAATAAGGGGGAGACCCAGAGAGGCCCCCTTGACCAGATAGGGGAGCCCAGCTGCACCCAGTGGGCAGGGCTGGCGGTCCGAGCTAAAGCCCACCTTGTGGCCGGTGTCCAGGAAAAGCTTCCCAGAGGCAGCCTCTTCCAACAGGCGAGCCCTGTGTTCCTGGGGAAAGGAAAGCCATGCCTAAGCCACGTGGCCCCCTTTTTCAGCACAGGGACCCCCACTCAGAACTGGCAAAGCCTGAAGACCCTCTTGTCAGCTATGAGCTCAGGTCCTCCTCTCTGACCACCCTGAGCCAAAGCCCCTGCCCCCCCTCACGAGGCTCCCAGCCACGGCCCATTCCCTGCAGACTGCCCTCCCCTTTGGGGGAGTCCGCTGGGGAATCTTGAGGCTGGGCTGGGTGGCCCCGTCCCCTGGGAGGTCAGCTGACCCACAGGGCAGAATCCCGAGGCCCCATCCTAAGAGGGAAGGGGGCCCCGATGGCCAACGCGGCCAATTCCCTTCTCCCTGGTTCTGACATCTGGAGCGAGGAGTCCTCGGTTGGGCTGGGCTCCGAATCGGGGTCCCCCAGCATGCTGGAGTGGCAGGGCCCAAACCCTGCGGCAGCCATGCTTCCCCCCCCCCGGCCATGGGGCAGTCGTGGCTGCACCACGCAGGCATCTCTGGGCTCCCTGGTGTTCTGAAGCCGGATGAGCAGAGGGCTTCCCAGTGGCAAAGGTTTAGGCTGGGGGGGGGGCATCTGAAGAAGGGCGAAGGGCAGCACCTTGAAAATCCGGATCTTCTCCTCCAACCATTCCCTGCTGAGTTTCCGCACAACCTCTTTGGAGTCCTCCATACCCACCATCCAGGAGTTCATCTCCTTGAAGAAAAAGTTGTGAGGGTCCTGAAGTCCCAACTCCTTGAACATATCCTTAAAAACTGCCCTGAGAGGAGGAGGAGGAGAGCATTTCTTAGCTAGTGTTTAATAGCAACACGGCACACACAAAACACACACTTCTTGGGTTGCCCCAACCTCCTGCCACAAAGAAAATAACGTTGCTGTCCACAGGAGACGGGGGCACTGCCCACTGCACAACGTTGCTGCAGGACCCACAGCAGAAGAGGGACTTCCGGAGCAGCCCTAGATGGCTGCCAGGAGCTGTCCCCCCCCAGAGGTTCTGGCCAAGATGGATCTCCTCAGGGATGCAGAGACGCCAGGCAGCCATGGGGCAGCAGCTAAGGTGGTCTACCAGCACAAGGGCGCTCTCCCCATCTGCCTTCTCTGCGCTTCGGAGGGGCTTGGCCACAACCCCTCCTGAATCCGAGGCTCCACGCGCCATGCAGTCGGGAAGCAGAGGGCCTCGTAGCTGGCTCCGCGGCTTCTTTCTCACCAGCAGGGAATCGCTACCCACCTGCAGCCTGAGCTGGTGGAAGGTCCTCTTCCCTCCTGAGAAGATCCAGGCCGGACACCCCTGCAGTGCCCAGCCCAACCCCTGGGAGCTTCCACCCACTGCTGTGCCCGGGAGACAGCTCCTCCTCGGCCAAGGAAGGGCACCTGCCCCAGGTGGGAACCTGCAAGGGTCCTTCTCCCACGGGGCCCTCACCGGGCGGAGGGAGCAGCCATCAGGTAGCAGGTCATCAGCTCCACCATCAAGTCCAGGCTATCTTTGTCCAAGTGCAGGAGGACGCGCAGGGTGGCCAGGATGAACTTCTTCTGGCTCTTTTCCTAGAAAGGGGAGGGGGCGCCTTAGCCAGCAGCCCTCGTGGAGGGAGGGGTCAGGGCAGGCCCACCTTTACCTCTTTTCCCACGCTGCTGGGGTGGGTGGCTGTCTTGGGGACCCCTACTGTGCCAAGATGTGTCACATCCCAGAGGGAGCCCAACTGGAGTATCCCTCCCACCAGCCCCCCCCCACCTCACCCTGTCTATCCCTCTAGCAACCGGTGGCAGAGCAGCGTCACCTGCAAAGAGGGGGCGTTGCCCTCCTGATTCAGCACTTCAAACAGGGTGTACTGGATCCACCTCTTCGCCCTGTCCTCCAGCTGGTCTTCCAAGTAGACGATGGCTCCCAACACCTCCGTCTTGGTGCTGTAGTCGGCAGTGAGCAGCGTCTCCTGCAGCTTCCTCAGCAAGACCTTCGAGGTCATCTCAGGGGGGATACCCTGTGGAGAGGGGAGCCCCTCAGGAGGGGGAGGGGGAGGCAGGGGTGTCCTCCTTCTGGACTGACCCAGCTTCTCCTTCTCTAGCCCAGGGCCGGAAGGCACCAGAGATGCTGCAGGCAAATGCCAGTTTTGGAAAAAAAAATGGGGTTCAAAAGTTTTATTATTTTTGACAGCTAAGTAATAAATGGACTTACTATACCTTGAGGTAAGATGGGCGGTCTATATATTTCATAAATAAATAAACAAACAAAACAAACACATTAAAAATAACTTTTAGTTTACTTAACTGGTATGGTACTCGCTTAATACCTCCTCAAACCGTATCCGATCAACAGCATCCCAAATTTACCATACATGATATACAGTAATTATGGTGTTGCTAAACTTGGGCAATGCTTATTTATTTCACCTATTTACATAGCCCCCATTATACAGATGTGACTCTGGGCGACGTACGAAGACAAACACAAACGTGTAAATAATTCAAGACTGCAGGAGAACCACAGTCCCTGGACCTCATGCAGCCCCCTTGTGGGATCCCCGTGGCTGATGAAAAACCCACATTTTCAGGGTCTTCCGGAAGGCGAACGGAGATGAGGCTAAGCTCACCCTGGGGTATGTGTGTGTAAGAGTGTGGTGGTGTGATGTTCCAGAGGATGGGGACCATTGCAAAAAAAAAAAAAAAGCCACTGCCTGGGTCCCACCAGATGGAGCCCCCTTGGAGTCGTCCTTGTAATCAGAAAAAGGTGGGTCCCTTCAGGTAACTTGGCTCCATGCCAAAATGTTAATGAAACACGGGCAAACAGGCGCCCCACATTCATAAGGGAAAAAATCGGGCTTCCTACCACAGGTAACCCACCCCCTGAACCCTAAGCCAGCCCTTTGGCTTCTCAGGTCTCTTTCAACCCTCCAATTCACACGATCCGAATCCACGCCGCGCACTGGGATCAACCTGGGCTGCCTGGTTTCCAGTTCAATGTATCAAGCCAACATCGCCACTGTTTGTGCACGGGTTGATCTCTGCATTGGGGCACTGAGTGGTCATCGGTGATTTATTTTTCAGTATCTGGGATGGGGCTGGTTGAGTTTCCAACAGGTGCAATTTTTCTATCAAAAAAAAGGCAAAAGTTTCCCTTGCCAGTGGGGTCTGGCTGGGGGGGGGGCTTATCTCCACGTCATAGCTGAGAGGGTCAGCATTGTCCAAAGAGGCTTCCGTGGTCATGTGCCAACATGGCTGCACTCCAAAGCCACAGGGAATGCTGTTACTTTCCCACCAAAGTGGTACCTATTTATCTACTCACATTTAACTGCTAGGTGGGCAGGATCTGGAGCCATCATGCCCCCTTTTCTATCAACATGGTTCACTAACCCAAGGCTAGCCCATCCCCAAGGAAGACCGTGTGTGTGTGTGTGTGTGTGTGTGTGTGTGTGTGTGTGTGTGAGAGAGAGAGAGAGAGAGAGAGAGAGAGAGAGAGAACTGGAAGGTAAAAGATGTGGGGGCAAGGCTCCATTGGTGACCTGGGGTCTGTAGGGCCCCCCTCACCTCTGGGAAAAGATTCTGAAACCACTCTTGGTCCACAAAGGGTAGAACAAATACAGGCACCGTCCTCGGCAGTTCTGGATACTGGGACTCATCCAGCTGAGTCAGGAAAATCCCAGGCGTGCTCTGAAATGAGGGAGGGGAGGGGGGGTCCAACACTCATAATGGCACAGGGGCAGCAAACATATTCCCTGTGTGCAACACAGGCAGCCATCTTGGGACACCAGCCAGGGGACCTCAGCGGTTGGGAGAGGCACCTGTTTTGTGGAGGGGGCGTCTTCCTTCGCTGGCATGATCCAGGACTTGGAGATGCCCTCCAGGGCCGCTGGCAGCTGTTCTTCCTTGGGCAGTTCCTCCTCATCAAACGTCCACATTAAACTGGCCTTTGAGGAGCTCCCCGACACCTGCCCCACAGAGGAAGGGAGGGGGTCCCTCACAGTCTCTCCTGGGAACAGAGCCCAGGGCCAGAGCACCCCTTACTGGTGCCCAAGGCTGAGCCACCTCTCTGTGCCCACAGGCTGGAGGCAGACAAGGAATTGGCAGAGCAACCACACTATGCCAGCCATACCAGGTACACCAGACCAGGACATCACAGGAAAGCTAAAATTACTTTGTTGAAATTGGTTAGGGGTAGGCAACCTTGGCTCTTTTATGACTTGTGGACTTCAACTCCCAGAATTCCTGAGCCAGCATGGCTCAGTTTGGAAACCTCTCCCCCTCAGCATGGCTGGCTCAGGAATTCTGGGAGTTGAAGTCCATGAGTCATAAAAGAGCCAAAGTTGCCTACCTCTGGCCTAGGCCTAGGCCCCTTCATGACTCGTGGAATTCAACTCCCAGAATTCCTGAGCCAGCACGGCTCAGCTTGGAAACCTCTCCCTTTCCCCTCAGCATGGCTGGCTCAGGAATTCTGGAATTGAAGTCCACGAGTCATGAAAGAGCCAAGGTGGCCTACACCTGATCTAGGCCTAGGCCCCTTCATGACTCGTGGACTTCAACTCCCAGAATTCCTGAGCCAGCATGGCTCAGTTTGGAAACCTCTCCCTTCCCCTCAGCATGGCTGGCTCAGGAATTCTGGGAGTTGAAGTCCATGAGTCATAAAAGAGCCAAAGTTGCCTACCTCTGGCCTAGGCCTAGGCCGCTTTATGACTCGTGGACTTCAACTCCCAGAATTCCTGAGCCAGCACGGCTCAGCTTGGAAACCTCTCCCTTTCCCCTCAGCATGGCTGGCTCAGGAATTCTGGGAGTTGAAGTCCACGAGTCATAAAAGAGCCAAGGTTGCCCATCCCTGGGCTAGAGTAACTGAACCTGGTGGGTCAGACGGTGCTGCATCGCCTCCCCCTCTTGTACCCCAGTGAATCGGAGCGGCTTCCTCGTAGAATTTTGCTTCCCGGGCCTTAAAAATATTCAGCCTTTTGCCCAGCTCAGGGGTATCCGATTCTTGGCAACTTTGTGACTTGTGGACTTCATGCTGGCTGGGGAATTCTGGGAGTTGAAGTCCACAAGTCTTAGAGTTGCCAAGGGCTGGATACCCCTGACCTAGTATTGATTTTGCTCATTTCCATCAAGCCTTTCTCTCCATGCACTTTGAAGGATGCCGAAGAAGTTGCTCCCTCGCGTGACACTCCACCCACGGCCTATCCCGGCTCCGGAGGGTCCTCAGAGCCCTTGCAGCCAGACGGGGCAGAGAAGCAAGCCACCTCCCAGCCAGACGGCCTCCCTACCCAGACGCCCGAGGCCGGCTGGCATTCCCAGATGCTCCGTTTCTCTGCTCCTTGAAAGGGCTGAGAAGATGGGATGAATCTCCAAGTGGGGGCACCCAACTATGCAAATTCTGCAGTGGGAACTGCCGTCGGGGGTCTGTGGTGCCAGGGCAGACCCCAGGCCAGTCTCCAGCGCTGCCCAGTGGCCAGCTCAGCTGTGGGTCTTCTGATGTTCAGGATTATAGTTCAGGCCATCCGACATCCTGCACGCTTCTCAAATCGGCCCCCCTCGCATGAACAGGGTTCTGCACCCCAACATCTTTTGTGGCCTTTCATCATTTTGTTCCCCCCCCTCCATTCCTTGCATGTGGGGGATGCATTGCCCAAACCAGGTGATTTTTCAAACGGGGGGGCTGTGTACCTGGTCAGAATCCTCCCAGGGAAGGTTGGGAGCCCAGCCTCCATGGTCTGACAATAGCCAACCGGCTGCCTTGGGGGAGGGGGGGAGATTCAGGCATGCCCCCCCAATTTCTAAAGAAGAGCTACTTGGCGCCACTTGTCATTGCATGCCATGCCCAAAGGGGTCCCAGCCTCCCCCGAAGGCGCTTACCACCTGGGGGCCGATCACCTTCACGAGCCTCTCTGTCTCCAGAAGGTCCAGGGTGTGAAGCTGCTGGGCCACCACAGAATTGGGGATGAAGCCGGAGGATATCCTGGGCAGCTGAAGACTCTCGCTCGTGAGCCCCTGGAGGCCAAGAAGAAGGAGACTCGGGCAGCCCTCCCAAGCCTTCCAGGCGCCGAGGCCGGGCATCCGGTTTGGCCCTCGCCACCTGGGCATCGCCAAGGAGAACAAGGCCCCCTCCTTCTGCCCATGTGAGAGGATAATGTTCTCAAGGGGTTTATGCTGACCAGCTTGATGCTCACTCAAAAGACCCGCTGGGGGGGCTGCACAGGCAGGAAAACGCCCCCCACCAAAGAAAGCATCCCCATCAAGAGTCAGGGCATCTTCTTGCACCCCCATCCATTCCCATAAAGCAGAGGCAGCACCCCAGGAACCCGGAACCCTACGGCTGCTGCAAATGGGGGGGGGGCGCAAGGCAAGACCCGCCCTGACTCGGAGGCCTGACTTGAGCCTTTCCGACAGAGGGGCGCCCGGCTTTGTTCTGCTGCAGAGCGAGTGGGGCAGGGGCCGTAGGGCGCCCCCGAGTGCAGCTGGCAAGGTGAGCCCCAAAAGAGAAGCCACGAAGGGGTCCAAGTCATCCAGAGGACTTCTTGGCCCCAGGGCCATCAATGGGGACAGCGTGGAGCTGGGGGAGCACGCGCGGATACCCTGCTGAGGAGACACATGTGGGCGGTAGGCAACGCAGCCTTCCTTCTCCTGGGTGCCCCCCGGCTCAGCCTATTGCCAGGTCAGGGGAAGGAACAGCCGCTCACCGCAAGCGTCCTTGACCTCTGCGGGCTGGGGGCCCTCTGCGGAAAGAAGCCTTTGACGATGGCAGACGGTTGGGGGCTCATCGAACGGGAGGTGGAGGGCAGGTGCTTCTGGCTCTCCTGGCTCAGCTGCGATGACACCAGTCCCCTGAAGAGGACGCTCTGGGTGCAAGACGTCACAAGAGGCCGGGTGAGTTCTCTTCCACCCCCCCCCTTCTTGCTGCAAAGGCCACCCAGGACTCCGACCCCCACCAGGAAGGCCGAGCTGGGCCCTGCTTTGAAAGGCTCCTGGAGGCAGAGAGGGGAGGAGGTGAAATCACATGGGGGGGGGAAGGTGCCACGGAGCACTGACCACTGAGTCTGTGGCCATCTCAAGGATCCGTCCACAGAGGTTCCCTTTAGAGGCCTGCAATGGGCCGGCCCCACCCATCTGGGGCTCCAGCAAGGAAGCGTTTGCTGGGTCAAAATGTCCTGAATTTGAAATGACTTCATGCTGCTGAGCCAGGGGGAGGGCAGGTCTTTCCCCACCCACGCTGCCCCAGAGCCCTCCTCTCTCCCACCTCTGGCGCTCAAAACACCCCATGGAGCCCCAACACCCGCAGGGCCAACCACAATCCCAGCGGGCACAGCTGGGCAGGGGTGGATGTGGCTGCAGCGGCCCCTTACCTTTTCACTCTTGAGGCGCGTGGAGGGGCTGGGGGACGAAGGGCTTTCTGGGGTAACCAAGACCAGAGTTTCGAACGGTTTAACTGGGCGCTCCGCAGGCTGAGGGGAAGCAGGCATCTTAGCGGGCTCTGGGCACGATCCCACATAACCGCCATCCTGACTTTTCCCTTTTGCCCCGTCTGCAGGATGGCCAGACCCGCTTCGAGCCTCCCACGCTGACCTCCCCCGCCCTGTGGCCCCTCCTCAATCTTCCTGGGGCAGGAGCAGACCTCTAAGCCGCCTGTCTGCTACCCAGAAAGAGGGGGGGGCTTGAGGCCCCTTTGGCTGCTGCTCTTCAGGATCCTTAGCCCAGAAGATGGGGGGCACAGCAGGCTTGGGAGTGGGCAGGTGCTGGGACCGTTTTGCAGCAAAGGCCAGAGGAAAAGCGAGGGGAAGGGTCCAGCACTCAAAGAGGAACAGCAGCTCCATCAGTTGAGCAGCCTCCCCCAGGCCTGCCCCCCCCCCGCCCAGACCCTCACCTTGGGCGCCTCCTCCGGGGCTCTTCTCAGGGGGTAGCCTGGCCTGCCCGCTCTTGCAGAAAGGGGCCGGATGCTCTCGGGGGCCTCCTGCGTGAGGGGGGCTGGGGGAGCTTCAGTTCTCCCCGGGGAGGGGGTCTCCTGCATCCCGGCAGAGGAGGGGGCAGCGCCAACATCTACCTGTGAGAAGCCAGGAGAGACTTTCAGGGCACAGCCTCGGCGGCATGGGCGTCAGGGGCTCCAACGACCCCAGGGCAGCCCCCCCCAACGAGCCCAGGGCAGCCCCACCCCCCCCCGCTTGCCAAAAGCCATTTCCCAGTTTGCTGATGGGAAATGTAATAAAATTTGAGGCTGGAAAAATAATCATATTAGCTGGGCCACTTTTTAATTAAAAATGTCACAAAGATAGAAGATCATAAATTCATCACCCCTCTTTTTTGGGCAAGAGGTCCCCAGCATACCCCTCCAAAGCTGCCCCCTCCCACAAATCTGGCACTCAGCCAAGCAGACCCTCCTCACCTTCTTCCTCTTCACCTGGAGCATGCCAGGAACCGCAAGGGAGGGGGTGAAGCGGATGGAGGGGCTAATCTCCTGCAGGGGGGGGAGGGGAGGAAGAAAGGTCCCTCTGAAAGCATGCTCAGCAGGGAAGGGCGGGGGGGGGGGCAGGCACAGCAAGCACCCTGCCTGGGGGCTGCTCCTGTCCTCTGCCGTGGGGTGAAGAGTGACGCAGAGGGGGTGCAGGTAGGGGACGCTGCCCAGGGGACTCCCAGGCTGGGCTGGGGTGGGGGGAAGGGATTGCAGCCTGGGGGGCCCCCCAAGAGGGGAAAAGAGGAGACCCAATAAGGGTCCAGACTGGCTGCTCCTCACCCCAAGGAGCCATTCGGGGCGCAGCCCCAGAGAGCAAAAGGCCCCTTACCGCAAAGGCTGAGCTGCTCAATTCGAGGGTCCTGGGCTTAGTGAAGCCCCCCAGGAACATGTGGGAAACGGAGGGTTCTAGGAGGGCAGAGAGGGGATCCATCCGGCCCAGGGATTCCAGCACTTCATCTGCGTCAAAGGGATCTTCTTCAGGAATCTGTGGGGAGAAGGGGTGGGGCTGCGCTAGGATCCAACCCAGGGAATAGCATGGCAGCCGGGGGGGGCAGGGGGGAAGGTGGCTGGGGGGTCTATGGCGGCCAAAACCCAGATCGGGGGGAGGGGCATCTCAGACATTTAATCAAAGGCAGAAACGTCAGCATACTTGAACCCAGGAAAGCCCCCCCCCATTTGACAGGGAAAACAGCTGCTCATTATTAATATTGCCAGGCCTGGTCCTTATTCAAGGGGGGGGGGTGCTGGCGATGATGCCAGGTCAGGATGCCCAGCTGGGTCTGCAGGGGCAGAGGTAGCCCACCAGATCTGCCAAGTGCCGCCCTTGCCCTGGTGAGCAACTGCCCAGCCGCTTGCAGAGAACAGACCCTCCCCCCCGAGGAGCCTGGTGCAGCGGAGGAAACGTCAGAAGCAGCCGGGGGGCACCAGGGCAGGGGCTCCCTAGGCACAGAGCTGGCCTGGGGGGCCGGTCCCTTGGTGCCCAGGGAAGCCCACTGGCAGAAGGGGGCTGGCATCAGAGAGGAAGGGCTAAGGAGAGGCTCTCGGATCAGCCTCCAGGAGGGGCCGGGGGCTCGGGCCCAGAGCCCACCATGTGCTCCCCCCTCCCCAGAAGCCCCGCCGGCCACAGCGCCACCTCCAGGCTGAGCTGCTCCTTGTAGAACAGGCCCAGGTAGTGTTCAAAGGCCTCCTCCCGCATCTGTTTGGTGAAAGGCCGTTTCTTGGCTGGGCTGATCTTCCCTTCCTGCAGCAGCTGCAGGTCCCGATTCCTCTCCGCCAGCTGGGCCATGCCCTGCAAAGGACACCCGGCTCAGGCCTCCAAGAGCGGCAAAGCCCCCAGGCGGAGTCCCCCCCCCCCGCGGCTGGGGCTGGGCTGCGCTCCCTCTGCCATCGGGCTGGCTCCAGCCACACCTGGCCTTGGCTCAGCGCTGACTGACCTCCAGCTTGAGCTTGGCTTCCCTGACCTCCCTGGACTCCCTCAGGGGCACCCGGAAGACGCCGGACATGCTGGACCTGCAGGAACAGGAACAGGAGCGTCTCTTCTCCTGGCGGCCCCCAGCCCGCTTCCCCCTCCCTCCTTCGCTGGGGCTGCAGCCGCTCTGCCACAAGAGATACTTCCTCACAGAAGCCACAGAGCGGGGACCCCCCCCCAAAAAGCTGGGAGGACCCCAGCTAGCAGCTCCAGCAAGGTCTAAACCCCCAGAAGGCAATCCGGTTGCTCTCTCTTCCAGGGGAGCCACAGCAGTGTCCCCGTCGCTTCCTTTCTGCGTGGGGGGGGTCCACGCCCCTTTCGATGCCCACCTTTTCCCTCACGCATCTCAGCTCTTCAGGACTTCCCACCTAGAAACTGGGGGCCCCCGAGGCCTGAAAACCAACTGGGTGGCTCTATGCCAGCCCCCCTCTCCCGGCTCTGCAAAGAAGGAAGCCAGGGCAGCCCGTCTCTGGAAAGGCTGCCAGGAAAACAGCAGGGCTTGAACAAGAGTGGAGTGACTTGAAGGTGTGTGCACACACAGACGCTTGTGTGCATGTACAAAAAAAAAAGCACAGACACATCAGGCTTTGGAACCTAAAGGCGCCCCAAGGCGGAGGAGCACCCAGGAGCGACGGGGACAGAGTCTGTGATGGAGGAGGGCCTCTGATCTGATGCTCAGGGATCTGGCAAGCGTGCCCGGGGATTGCTGCCCCCCGAGCCCCCCTCCCAGCCCAGCCCCCAGAGCTTACTCGGACTTCTTCGCAGGCAGCTCTTGCCTCAAGCGACGGCTGTTCTCTTGCACCAGGGCCTCAAAGCTGGACGGGCTGATGGGCAGCGAGATGTCCTTGAGGGGCTCCAGGAACTTTGCCCACAGCAGCTGCAAGAGGAGGAGGAGATCCAGAGAGGCAGGACCACAACACCTGTCCTTCAGGTGCCCAGAGGGGACCGGTCCCCACATCCAGGCAACGGTGCAAGTCCGTTTGGAAAGGGGCCCCTGGGGGTGCCGTCTGGGCCCACCTGCATCTGGTAGTAGCTGGGCAGGTACTCGGTGTGGGGGATGAGGTACAGGTGCTGCTCCAGGCCCACCAGCAAGTCCCCCTTGTGGTTGGCGAAGGCCAGGCTCTCTGGGATGGTGTTCAGCTTCAGGTGCCTGCAGGTAAGGGGACTCTGCAGGTAAGGCGAGCAGGGCTGGGGCCCCAAATGGGAGACAGAGTGGGAAAGCACACAGAACCTGCGAGACACCCCCCCCCGCTGTAAGGGAACCACAAGAAAGCACAGAGACAGACTTAAGCCTCTTTAACGGTCTAATACTCGTCACTATGGCAGGCAGGCTGGATGGAACTAGGCCAAGCAGAGGCAGCATTTGGAGAGCAGCCCCCCAATGGCTCCTCACAGCCAAGCTGGATGACCCACCAAGAATGGGGCACCCTGCATGGAGCCATGGGGGGGGGGAAGGCAAGCAGGTCCAGGAGAAGAGCTTAGCACTGACCAGTCCTCAGGGAGGGAGACTTGGGCACAGCCACTCCCCTTTGCTGCTGCAGGGTTAGGGGATCAGGCTGCGCCCACCCGCTGCCCTCTGGGGATCAGGCCTTCCACTCCCTCCTCCCATGGGGCCCTCACCGGAGCAGCCTGTTCTTGTGGTCCCAGATCTTCACTGACCCGTCCCGGCTGGATGAGGCAAAGAGCTTCAGGTTTGGGCAGCAGCAGAGACCTTAGAAGAGGACGTCGGACACAGTGAGGGGTGGGGGGGTGGAGGGAGCTGAGACCTACCCAGTCCTTGTGGAACAACTGCTGCATCCCCTGCTCCCCCCCACCAGGGCCCCTACTGTGTACCTGTGATGTCATCCTGGGCATCTTCCTCGGGTCCATGCTCAGAGCGTGTCTGCTCCATCAGGTTGTAGTGGACAATGCTGTAAGTGACCGTTTCGGGGTCCTGGAAGGCCACCGCCAGGGTGTCTCCGAGGAAGCACATGTGCCACGCAGGAGAGGCGCAGGAGAAGGACAGGAGGGGGAGCAGGCACTCCTCCACGTGGGGGAAGAGGCGCCACATCTTCACCGTGAGGTCCATACCTGTTCCAGGCAAGGGAGACCGCTTGGTCACCCGGCCTCTGCTGACCACTTGAGACTCACTGAAACTACGCCCGAAGAATTCCGCTCACGGGTGGGTGCCAAGGGTGGCAGAATTAGGCGCCTTCTTCCTATCGATGGGAACTTATCCATTTGGTGCCCTCTGGCCTCACCTTACGGGCCACAGGAAAGTGAAATTTGTGCCGTTGGCAGGAGGTTTGTTAAAATTGGGGGAACGGGCAGGAAACGTTTAGCTTCGTAGGAAGACGGTGGGCGGGCTGTGGGTGGCTGAAAGCAGCACCCGTTTCTCAAGCGAAGCACCTGAAACGCAGGAGCCTCCGACTCCATCCATTCTGTTGTGAAGAGGTGGGGGCTGGGGAGGGAAGTGCACTGCAGTAGGAAAGAGATGATGAAAGCGATGGGGGGGGGGCAAGAACGAATGGACAACATATGAAGGTGGGTGGAGTACACAGGTGGACACCAGAGGAGCAGACTGAGAGGGTCCAGATTGTGACCCAAAGGCCACGTGTGAAGGGCGGAAGCCAGGAGAGTTTGCTGGGATTCAAAGGGAGGGGGAAGAAGAACCAACTCTTTTCATGTTCAGAAGGCTTAGATTAGCTAATACACACACACACACACACACACACACACACACCTGTCCTCTCTGCTTCCCATTGCTGACTCTTCCTCTGCTCCAAAACGTGATGGAGTCGCAAGTCTTTCTATGGCTTTTCTTTCATGAGAAATGGAATCGCTTTATCGTGCGATGCCCGTTCCTCCTTCCCAAAACCCAGAGGGTTTAACTGGGATTTTTAAAGAGAAGAAGCGCCAAAGAACCCCCACGTCTTATTGTAACACACCTGAGAAAAATAGCAGCTCTGGCACGCTTCAAGGAATTGTGCAGGGAGAGCAAAGGCTCTCCCATCCTGTTCCCCAGTGTGGGAATAACGGAAGAACAGAGACGGAAGGGATCCTGGAGGCCTTCTAGTCCAACCCCCTGCTCCGGCAAGAAACCCTATAACATTTCAGGCAAGTGGCTATCCAGTCTCTTCTTGAAAACACCCAGTGATGGAGCAACCAGGAAGGAAGGAGGGACCAGTCTCAACTGGACAGGGGATTCCGCTGCCCAAAAGCAGGAGAGGGGCTCTTTGGAGGGGGGGCGGCGGCTCTGCCATCAGTTCCTGGATGCCCTGAAGGACACCTGCTTCTCTCACTCAGCAAAGCCTTTTCACCGGGCCAGTCCCCCCTAGAGGCAGCTAATCCCCGTTCTCGCCAGAGGAAGGCAGCCGCACCCTGGTGGAAAAGCTGGCTTCCTGTGGGGGCTGCCGAAGAGCCTAAGGGGCAGCTCAGCACAGGGCTGTGGGCAGCGCTTCTGTAGGGAACTCCGTGGGGATGCTGCTGGCACCTAACTGTGGGCAGCCAGTGAGAAGCGGCAGCTTTGGTTGCAGGTACCTGGCGCCCTCAATGGGGTTGCTGGCAGACCTGGAGATCAGCTGCCCCTCCTGGCTTGTTTTCCCAAAATCGCCAAAGATGGAACGACTTCGGAGGGGTTTATGTAATTCTGTCTTCCAGTCTACCGAGTGAGGCTGACACCGGTCTCCCTCTAGGTCAGTGTTTCCCAAACTTGACAATTTTAAGGCATGAGGACTTCAACTCCCAGAATTCCACAGCCAGCGTTGCTGGCTGTGGAATTCTGGGAGTTGAAGTCCTCATGCCTTAAAATTGTCAAGTTTGGGAAACACTGCTCTAGGTCATTTCTGGAGAGGCCTGGGACTCCCTGAAGCTCCCTCCCTCCCCCTTGGGGCTCTGAGACTTACCTGCTGACAGGACACACATCTGTGTGGTGTACTCAGCCAACGCCGTGACACGCTCAGGGTTATGCGCCTCCACTGTGTACTGGGCTCGGCCCAAGAACCAATCTATGACACTGAGGGAGCCGTTTTTGTGCCCCAGAATTGGAAGGAATCTGGCACGGAGAGACACACCGAGAGGACAAAGGAGTCTCCGGTTCAGAACAGTGGCAGAAGAAGTTTTGCCCAACCCTTTCGTCCTCTCCGGGCCTCCCAGCCTGGCCCCCCAGGGTGTGTTTCCCCAGCCAAGAGTTCCAGTGCAGGTGCTGTTCCCTGCAATTCAAGGCCTGTCCGGAGAAGCCAGGACACGTCCTCCCAGGCGATGGCTTGAGAAACCCCCATGCGGACCCCACAGGACACAACGACCAGGCTGGGCAGTAGCTGCGGACTGGAACGAAGGGAGCGAGGGCCAGTGCTTCCCAGGCTGCCTACCTGTTTCTGTCCTGCATGTTGATGGTGGATTTCTGCCACTTCCTCCGGTAGCCTTGGTTCTGGGTCACTTCCAGCCACGTGGCATATGCCTTGTCTGGTTCCACCATGTGGCTGTAGAGGAGGACGCAGCAGGGCCTGGATTCCCAGAGGCTGCTGCTGAAGCACTGCTTCACCCTCATGGGACTGGTGGCTGCGTTGACGCGCAGCACGTGGCCCTGTTGCAGCAGCACGAAAAGGGTCTCCCGGGGCAAGCAGTAGGCCACTGCCCGGGCTGGGGAATACTGGTCCAAGGAGAGGACGGACACAGGCGCGCCACTCTGGGCATCCAGCAGCTGCACGGTGGAGTTCTGGCACAGGCAGAGGACGCGGGCAGGGAAGTCGCCCAGCAGCCTCAGGTCAACGCAGCTGAGCTGCCTGGCAGGGGAACCCAGCAACGTGTAGAGTGAGTAGAGCTGATTGATTTTCCAGAGGTTGAGGCTGCAGCCCGAGATGGAGAAGACGTGTGAATTGGTGTGGGTGTCCAAGGACTCCACAGGCTCCGAGACGTGGACCTGGTCTACCTGGTCAATGGTGTTGAGGTTCCAGGTGCGGATGGTCCCGTCTTGGGAGGCAGAGAAGATGAGGGGCCGGTGAGGGTAGATGGTGACGGCAATGACTGGAGCTGGCGGCAGAAAGGGGGCAGCAAGAAGAGGAAAGGTCTTCTCAGAGCTAGAGACCTTTTCCAGAGTTGGAGAACGAGCCATAGGCTCAGAAGTCAAACGAACCCGGCTCCTGCCTTCAGCAGAGGACAGACAAACTCAAGAGATAATAATAATAATAATAATAATAATAATAATAATAATAATAATAATAATAATAATAATAATAATAATAATCCCCCAGTGAGGCACTACCTTGACGTGGTTGTGGGCTTGTGTACTCTGAGGAAGATGAGAGCTATGCCAGAGGTTCAACCATACTGGACAGGTCTCATCAGAGGAGTCAGACAAAGAGTGTCTCTCCCATAAAAAATATGGTGAGACGTAAATTTCAGAATGCCATACCGGCTCGGACGTCGCCCGGGTTAACAAGGTCCGCACTAGATATTGGAGTTCCTGGATATCTGGTGAAAAATGGGTTACAGGACTCAGGACTGTTGGCTGAGCAACCAGGGCCAGCAGCTGCAGAACTACTGGAAGAAAAGGTGTTTACCCGTCGCAGATACACAGTGATGGAAAACAAAGAAATAATGATCTGTTACTACAGATCAAGTCCAACAAGAAGAGGATATCTAAAACGAATGCACCAGTTCTGGAAAGAACAACATCCAGAATCAGAAATAACAGAACAGAGACTAGCAGATCAACGCCGATTTATAACACGAAATAAAGTATTCACAGAAACAGAATTGGACGAACTGCAAAGGTTTACCCAGGGCAAAGAAATCAAAGCCTTACCAGAAGTAATTCAGAATGTAGAGGTAAACCAGGGGGAGTTGGCAGTGAAGGAATCTAGCAGAGATATACAACTGTTCTCATTTGGAAACCAGGCACCTCTACCTCAGGAAGAACAAAACCCTCTAACTAAAGAAATAAAAGAATTGAAACAAAGAATAACTGAGCATCTAGAACAGCACAAAAACAACAGAATAAGGCTACCTGCATTGAAGCTTGTTCCAAAGAAACAGCTAGCACAAGCATTAAAAGATGCAAATACTGCAATAGCAAGTATAAGCACCAATTCACTGCAAGAAACAAACCAACTAATGTACAGCACAGCTGCAGTTATAACAGAATACCTGGGATGCAAAATCAACAAAGAAGAAAAACAAACAAACAGTGCACCAGAAAAATGGAAGGTTAGACTAGAAAATAAGATCAGCAAGTTAAGATCACATGCAAGCAAGCTAGAACAGATGAAAGAAAAGAAGCTGAAGAACAAGAAGACCAAAGAATACCTAATCAAGAAATACCACTTAGAAACAAGGAAGATCAAGGAAGCACTGGAAATAATAAAGCAACAAATAACAGCTATAGCCAGGAAAATCAGTAGATATGAAGCTCGAATTGCAAACTATAGGCAGAACCTCCAATTTCAATCCAATCAGAAACGTTTCTACCAATCCATCAATGGAGAAACTGCAAGGAATCAGTCAGTACCTGACAAGGAAGAAACAGTGCAGTTCTGGAAGCAGATATGGGATAACCCAAAGAAATACAACAAGGATGCGGCTTGGTTAAAAGAGGTGGATGCAAATAAAACAGAAGTTGAAATGAAAGAACTAGTAATAACAACAAAAATGGTAGAAAAAAGAGCAAAGAAAATCAAAAATTGGTCAGCACCAGGTGAAGATGAACTGCATGGGTTTTGGTTGAAACATCTAACTGTTATACACCCACTCATTGCCAAACAGTTCAACAATATACTACAAGGAGGAGAAATTGAAAAGTGGCTAACAACTGGGAAAACCTACCTAATAATGAAAAATCCAGCAAAAGGGGCAACACCAGGTAACTACAGGCCAATTACCTGCTTACCAACAACTTTCAAATTACTAACTGGTGTGGTAGCTGATGCAGTGCAACAGCATCTAGTTGAAAACAATCTCTTTCCACCTGAGCAGAAAGGAAACCGCCCCAATAGCAGAGGAACAAAAGATCAACTCCTAATAGACAAAATGATCTTGGAAAACTGCAAGAGAAGGAAGACCAACCTGAATGTGGCATGGATTGACTACAAAAAGGCATTTGACTCTCTGCCACATGATTGGATAATAAAGTGCCTAGAAATAACAGGAGTCAGTAGAAACATCAGAAAATTTGTGCAAAGATCGATGGCACAATGGAAGACACAGTTGCAGATCAATGGTGAGAGGCTGGGAGAGGTTAATATCAAGAGAGGAATATTTCAAGGAGATTCATTATCACCATTACTATTTGTTATTGCACTGTTTCCTCTGTCAACAATACTGAATAACTCAGGACATGGCTATCAAACATCAAAAACATCTGCCAGACTATCCCACCTCCTTTACATGGATGATCTGAAGCTGTATGGAAAAACATCATCTGAAATAGAATCGCTGCTCAACACTGTCCGTATATATAGCCAAGATATTGTAATGGAGTTTGGCTTGGACAAATGTGCCACACTTACTATCAAACAAGGAAAAATAATGAAAACTGAAGGAATCAAGATGCCCCACGAAAATAACATTAAGAGTCTGGATGAGGAAGAGTACTACAAATACTTGGGTATCCTTCAAGCTGACAACATCAAGCACACTGAAGTCAAGAAAAAGATTAGAGGTGAATACATCAAGAGAGTGAAGAAGATCTTAAAATCCAAACTCAATGGAGGAAATACCATAAAGGCAATCAACACCTGGGCAATCCCAGTCATTAGGTACACAGCTGGAATAGTGGACTGGACTCAAGCAGAACTAAAAGCAATGGATAGGCAGACCAGAAAAATAATGACAATGAATCATGCCCTTCATCCACGCAGTGACATTGATAGACTTTATCTACCAAGGCAAATAGGTGGGCGTGGAATGCTACAAGTACATCAGATGGTTGAAGAAGAAAAAATGGCTTTGGAAGAATATCTGAAGAACAATGATGAAGATGCACTGAAATTAGTATATCAGGAAGGCTTACTAACTACTGGAGAGACCAAACTGGCCTTCAAGAAAGACCAAATGAAGAACAGAATAGAGGCATGGGAAGACAAAGCACTACATGGCCAATACATGAAAAAAATAGCTGGGAAAGCAGATAATAATAAAACCTGGCAATGGCTAAGAGCAGGAAAATTGAAGAAAGAGACCGAGGGACTAATTCTGGCTGCACAAGACCAAGCCTTAAGGACAAATGCATACAAAGTCAAAATTGAGAAGACAGCAACAGACAGTAAGTGCCGCCTATGCAAAGAAGCTGAAGAAACAGTGGACCACTTGGTAAGCTGTTGCAAGAAGATTGCACAGACTGATTACAAGCAGCGGCATGACAAAGTAGCAACAATGGTGCATTGGAAGATCTGCAAAAAATATCATTTGCCTGTAAGCAAAAACTGGTGGGATCATAAAATAGAGAAAGTCATAGAAAATGATAAAATTAAACTGCTCTGGGACTTCAGAATTCAAACAGACAAGCACCTGCAACATAACACCCCAGACTTAACAATTGTCGATAAGAAAGACAAAAAAGTCTGGATAGTGGATGTGGCAGTGCCTGGAGATAGCAGAATAGAAGAGAAAGAACTGGAGAAGATAACAAAATACAAAGACCTACAAATAGAAATAGAAAGACTGTGGCAAAAGCAAGCAAGGGTAGTACCAATAGTCATAGGCTCCTTGGGTGCAATCCCAAAACAACTGGAGCACCACTTGAACACCATTGGCATTGACAAATTCGCTATTAGTCAATTGCAAAAGGCAGCCTTATTAGGAACTGCTTCCATCCTGCGACGATATCTGTAATACCATCAAACATCCACATCTGCCTATCCCAGGTCCTGGGTAAGGACTCGATAGGTAGACAAAATGCCAAATCCAGTCTGAACATCTGGCTGACTGTGCGATGATCCATAATAATAATAATAATAATAATAATTGGAAGATCTGCAAAAAATATCATTTGCCTGTAAGCAAAAACTGGTGGGATCATAAAATAGAGAAAGTCATAGAAAATGATAAAATTAAACTGCTCTGGGACTTCAGAATTCAAACAGACAAGCACCTGCAACATAACACCCCAGACTTAACAATTGTCGATAAGAAAGACAAAAAAGTCTGGATAGTGGACGTGGCAGTGCCTGGAGACAGCAGAATAGACGAGAAAGAACTGGAGAAGATAACAAAATACAAAGACCTACAAATAGAAATAGAAAGACTGTGGCAAAAGCAAGCAAGGGTAGTACCAATAGTCATAGGCTCCTTGGGTGCAATCCCAAAACAACTGGAGCACCACTTGAACACCATTGGCATTGACAAATTCGCTATTAGTCAATTGCAAAAGGCGGCCTTATTAGGAACTGCTTCCATCCTGCGACGATACCTGTAATACCATCAAACATCCACATCTGCCTATCCCAGGTCCTGGGTAAGGACTCGATAGGTAGACAAAATGCCAAATCCAGTCTGAACATCTGGCTGACTGTGCGATGATCCACCATAATAATAATAATAATAATAATAATAATAATAATAATAATAAGAAGAAGAAGAAGAAAAGAAGAAGAAGAAGAAGAAGAAGAAGAAGAAGAAGAAGAAGAAGAATAAGAAGAACTAGTAATAACAACAAAAATGGTAGAAAAAAGAGCAAGGAAAATCAAAAATTGGTCAGCACCAGGTGAAGATGAACTGCATGGGTTTTGGTTGAAACATCTAACTGTTATACACCCACTCATTGCCAAGCAGTTCAACAATATACTACAAGGTGGAGAAATTGAAAAGTGGCTAACAACTGGGAAAACCTACCTAATAATGAAAAATCCAGCAAAAGGGGCAACACCAGGTAACTACAGGCCAATTACCTGCTTACCAACAACTTTCAAATTACTAACTGGTGTGGTAGCTGATGCAGTACAACAGCATCTAGTTGAAAACAATCTCTTTCCACCTGAGCAGAAAGGAAACCGCCCCAATAGCAGAGGAACAAAAGATCAACTCCTAATAGACAAAATGATCTTGGATCTTGGAAAACTGCAAGAGAAGGAAGACCAACCTGAATGTGGCATGGATTGACTACAAAAAGGCATTTGACTCTCTGCCACATGATTGGATAATCAAGTGCCTAGAAATAACAGGAGTCAGTAGAAACATCAGAAAATTTGTGCAAAGATCGATGGCACAATGGAAGACACAGTTGCAGATCAATGGTGAGAGGCTGGGAGAGGTTAATATCAAGAGAGGAATATTTCAAGGAGATTCATTATCACCATTACTATTTGTTATTGCACTGTTTCCTCTGTCAACAATACTGAATAACTCAGGACATGGCTATCAAACATCAAAAACATCTGCTAGACTATCCCACCTCCTTTACATGGATGATCTGAAGCTGTATGGAAAAACATCATCTGAAATAGAATCGCTGCTCAACACTGTCCGTATATATAGCCAAGATATTGTAATGGAGTTTGGCTTGGACAAATGTGCCACACTTACTATCAAACAAGGAAAAATAGTGAAAACTGAAGGAATCAAGATGCCCCACGAAAATAACATTAAGAGTCTGGATGAGGAAGAGTACTACAAATACTTGGGTATCCTTCAAGCTGACAACATCAAGCACACTGAAGTCAAGAAAAAGATTAGAGGTGAATACATCAAGAGAGTGAAGAAGATCTTAAAGTCCAAACTCAATGGAGGAAATACCATAAAGGCAATCAACACCTGGGCAATCCCAATCATTAGGTACACAGCTGGAATAGTGGACTGGACTCAAGCAGAACTAAAAGCAATGGATAGGCAGACCAGAAAAATAATGACAATGAATCACCCTTCATCCACGCAGTGACATTGATAGACTTTATCTACCAAGGCAAATAGAATGGTAAGATGCTTTGGAAGAATATCTGAAGAACAATGATGAAGATGCACTGAAATTAGTATATCAGGAAGACTAACTACTGGAGAGACCAAACTGGCCTACAAGAAAGACCAAATGAAGAACAGAATAGAGGCATGGGAAGACAAAGCACTACATGGCCAATACATGAAAAAAATAGCTGGGAAAGCAGATAATAATAAAACCTGGCAATGGCTAAGAGCAGGAAAATTGAAGAAAGAGACCGAGGGACTAATTCTGGCTGCACAAGACCAAGCCTTAAGGACAAATGCATACAAAGTCAAAATTGAGAAGACAGCAACAGACAGTAAGTGCCGCCTATGCAAAGAAGCTGAAGAAACAGTGGACCACTTGGTAAGCTGTTGCAAGAAGATTGCACAGACTGATTACAAGCAGCGGCATGACAAAGTAGCAACAATGGTGCATTGGAAGATCTGCAAAAAATATCATTTGCCTGTAAGCAAAAACTGGTGGGATCATAAAATAGAGAAAGTCATAGAAAATGATAAAATTAAACTGCTCTGGGACTTCAGAATTCAAACAGACAAGCACCTGCAACATAACACCCCAGACTTAACAATTGTCGATAAGAAAGACAAAAAAGTCTGGATAGTGGACGTGGCAGTGCCTGGAGATAGCAGAATAGAAGAGAAAGAACTGGAGAAGATAACAAAATACAAAGACCTACAAATAGAAATAGAAAGACTGTGGCAAAAGCAAGCAAGGGTAGTACCAATAGTCATAGGCTCCTTGGGTGCAATCCCAAAACAACTGGAGCACCACTTGAACACCATTGGCATTGACAAATTCGCTATTAGTCAATTGCAAAAGGCGGCCTTATTAGGAACTGCTTCCATCCTGCGACGATATCTGTAATACCATCAAACATCCACATCTGCCTATCCCAGGTCCTGGGTAAGGACTCGATAGGTAGACAAAATGCCAAATCCAGTCTGAACATCTGGCTGACTGTGCAATGATTGATAATAATAATAATAATAATAATAATAATAATAATAATAATAATAATAATAATAATAATAATAATAATAATAATAAAAGTTGGAAGGGATCTTGGAGGTCATCGAGTCCAACCCCCTGCTCAGGCAGGAAACCCTATACCATTTCAGGCAAATGGCTGTCCAGCCTCTTCTTAAAGACTTCCAATGTTGGAAGATCCAGTTCTTCCACCATGTACTTTCAGGCTGGTAGGAGCTTCACCTGTTGAACTTCTAGCAGCCATGCAGCTCTTTTGAAAAGGAAAGGGCAACACCTGTGTCCACCTCGTCCTCCTTGTCCATGAGAAGGGGGCAGGAAGGAAGGGCAGGGATGGGGAGGCTCCTCCTGCTCATCCAAAGGGCACCTGGGCAGCTGAACTCACCTGTGTGCCCCACAAAGACGATCCGAATGTGCCACTCCTTGTCCCACACCTTGATGGTGGTGTCCCGTGAGGCTGTGATTACGCAGCCAATGGCTTCACAATAGGCAAGGTCTGTGATCTCTCTGCAAAGAGACACGGGGGCACCTGCAATTAAGCCCCCCACCTGTCCCTGAGCAGGAGGGTGCCTCGTCTGTGCCTAACTGGAACCACCAGCACCTGGCCCAAGTCCAAGTCCAGCACTGCACCATAACACTGCTTCCCCCTCCTTCACATACACAGCAGCCCCAGAGGGCAGGGGCGGTGCCCAGATCTCTCCTTCAGCCCCCCCAGCAGGAGACGCTGGGGACCTGGCAATAAAGCAAACGGCACCTTTGGGTGGGCATTCCATCCTGATCTTGCTGGGGCCTTCGAGAAGCACTGGACCACAGAGCACTGAGCAAAGCCACGGGGGCCACAGGGGTCCCTCCCCAGCACGGCAACCTCACCTGCTATGGAGCTTCGTCCTGAAGGCCAGGAGATTCCCCCTGGAGATGTCAAAGGTGGCCACGCCGGTGGCGCAAGAGGCAAAGCAGCGTTGGGGCTCACTAGTGCTGTCTGTGTCCAAGACGAGGTGGAGAAAGAGGTCACTGGGTCCCAGGCCGATGCTCACGCTGGCTCGGCACTGAAGGCTGCGGAAGCCATAGCGGAAGCTCCAGATGGTCAAGTTTCCGTCGCCGGCAGTCACAATCCGGTTCAGCTGCTTGCTGTAAATGCCGCAGCGGATGGGCAGCGCGGATGGCACCTGAGAGAGCAGCTGGAAGTGGGAGTCCAGGACATGCAGGCCTCTGGTGTCCCAGGCCACAAACTGGTTGACGTGGGAGGCATACAGGATGCCCATCATGGGGACCGGGCCCTCCATGCTACCCCTGCAGCAGCCGTCTTCCGTTAACAGGTGCAGCGTGTTGGCTGCGTCCAACGCTATAAAGGCCCTTCTCTGCAGGTCGTGGGTCACGTGGCGCACGGGGCTGGCCAGGACAATGCGGCACTTGTGCTGTAGCCCGTGGCTCAGGTGGAGGGTCATCATTTCCTCGTTCTTCATCTGACCCGGAAAGAAAACTCGGTGGCTGGGGTCTGCCAGGAGGGGCCAGTCGCTTGAGAGGCTGTGGCTGGCTGAGGACCTTGTGGCAGGACTGGCCGGTACCAGCTGGGACCCTACATTAAGTTCCCAGCCATCTTCATCCCTACGCCATCTGCTCCCTGGCAGTGCCAGCACCAAGCATGGGCAAGGTCTTCAGCTTTGCAGGTGACAACAGCCCTGCCCACAAGGTTCACCTTCAAGCCTGAGAAAGAGGCCGCAGCAGGCCAGGGATGTTGGCCCAAGCAGGGTGGCTGAAGTGGGGCTCCCTGGACCACCACTCGGAACACTGGCTTAGCCGGTTCAGGGGCTTCATCACTCCATACCCATCATCCTCAACAGGTGGGAAGCCTCAGGGGAAGATAAACTAATAGATAATAGCTGAACAGATGCCACACATGAGAGTCCAGCCCCCCCCCCATTTGTTCCAGGGTGCAGCCTTCAGAATCATGGATTTAAGTCGTAGGAAGGCAGACTGCTATTATTCAGGCAGAGCTGGGAGGGGGGAGCGGTGCTGGAACCTCGGGGCTCGTGCCTCACTCTGACTGGTGGGGGGGGGGAGGTTCTCCTTATCCAGGGCCATCCTGCAGGGGTCTGGCTGAAAGGCAAGACCCAGCCTCTTGGCAAGAGTGATGGTTTCCAGATGGTCTTTCTTTGGGAGGGGCCGTTTGTGCTTCTGCTGCCCCCCATCAACCCACCTTCCCTGGGGCTCCCTGGCTCCCCTGGCCTGGGCACTCTGGCCCCACATTCCAGGGGTCAGAAAGGAGACACGAAGGGTGCTGTTACCCCGGGGCTTCTGCCCCCCTCTGCTGGACTGCTGCACACCTCTGGCCCGGGGGAGGGGCAGGATTTTCCTTGCTCTGTCAGCCTCCTCACTGGTGACCCCTCCCATCCTCCCCAGCACCTGCCATGGGCTGGGAGGGACGATCGGGGCTGGCTGCTTGTGCTGGCCTTTGCGTTGGTCTCCGTCTTTTTTCCTTATTAAACTTGGAGGCTGCCCATCTGACCACAGGCGATTCTTTTATCAGATTGTTCCTGTGCTTACGTGCCAATTCAATTCCTTTTTCCTACCCATTTTATACTTTATGATCAAAAAAATAAATTTCCTTTAACTCTTACGATGCACTTTAAAAAAAAGTGGACCTGGATCCCACCCTTGTTGCACCCCACAGAACTGCCTGGGGGGAGGGGGGTGTCCAGAAGCCCACAGAGGAAGGGCTGGGCTGCTTCTCTCCGTGCTTGCCCCTCCCCTGGGAGGCAGACCCTCTGAGGAACATACCTTTTCCACAGCCCGGCGGAAGCCCCTCCGGAGGAGGCCCCACAGCCTGCGCCCCCTTGCCTGCTCCCCTCCGAGGGGAGCCCCGTCCTCCTTCCCCATCTTCTCTCCAGCCGGCAGGGACTGCTGGTGCGGCCTCTTCCTCTGCCCCACTTGGCTGGCTGCAGAAGGGGGGCAGGTGTTCAGCGGGAGGGGGGAGGGCTCCCTGCTGTCTGGTAGGAGCCCAGCCAAGGGGGGGGGGAGCTTGCTTACAGCTGCTGCCCGAGGACTCCACCATCTGGGCAGCCGGGCACATCTAAAGAGTCGCCCTTCTGTGGAAGGCGGGGGCTGAAAGGCCCCAAAGCAAGGCTCCCAACCAAATCTCAAGGCTGGATTTGGCTCTGGAACACATAAACAGAGGTGCAGCTAGGTCAAAAAAGTCAAAATGGCAGCCATAAGGTTTTTTTTTTTAATCTTTCACAGAGCTCCTCAATTCCAGAGGGCTGGGACACCCCCTCGGCTATCAGCCCGCCTGGTCTGCTCAGGGAGGGCTTCCCTGAGGTGGGTGTAAAAAAAGCAGCCCCCCCTCAAGGCTGCAATTCTTGTTGGATTCTCCAGGAGGCAGGAAGGGAGGCCCCAAGGAGAATCCGGAGCAATGGGGTGCCCAGTTCCAGCTTCCGTCCAGGGCCTCCTTTGTCGTAGAAGGCTCCGCTGGCTGCCTCCGGAGCAGAGAAGAGGGATCTCCCCAGCCTCATAGTGGGCAAGACCAGGATTCGGCCAATTCAGCTCCCTCAGTGCAGAAGGGCGTTGCTGCAGTGGGTTAGGCAGGGCAGGGGTCTTCCAGTGGGGGGGGGAGCTAAGCAGCCACGGGCAGGAGGGCGCTGCAAAGGCAGAGTGTGCACCCTCGCGGCCCCAACTGCATCGCCCAGGCCCTCAGCTTGAACGTGCATTTGTATTTAACAACTGATATTTTCCACAAACTTATTTTGGCTTCTAAATACAGGTAGTCCTCACTCAATGACCCTCACAGGGACTTGAAATTCTGCCACAAAGTGATGCAACAGCTAAATCAGTGCCCACCATTGTGCTTTGTAGCTGGAAAGAAACCAGGCTAGTCAGCTCACCCCTCCTGCTCCCATTTGCCTCCTAGCGCTCTGCCATTCAGAACAGAGGTCTCCAGCCTTGGCAACTTGACAGGCTGAGGAATTCTGGGAGTTGAAGTCCATGAGTCATAAAGTTGCCAACGTTGGAGACCCCTGCTTTTAGAAGGCACGGATGTATGGTTGCTTTCTTATACGCATTGAAAGCAGTGTGACCACGCTGTAGCTCAGGGCAGACCGCTTACAGCACTCTCTTGAAATCTTTCTCTCCATTCCCTGTTTTGCAGGATGGGAATGGAAAGGCTCAGGCAAAGGAGAGAATGCCTACAGAAAGCAATTGTTTTTCTCTCCCCACCATCAGACCACACGGATGGAAGAAAAAGATGTTAAGAGTACGGGAAGCTGTCTGCACAGCGTGCCTGTGGCTCCCAGTCCAGGCTGTGGTGCAATCACATTGCTTTTGATACCTAGCAAACAGCTTACTTTCTTGCAATCCCTTTTTCTCCAATCTCTCTGCTCTGCAAGGGGGAATCGTACCAATAAAGGAGAATATTTGTAGCTCAGGGTTGAAACGAGGGGTCCTGGGTGTTCTCTGAGCTGGGTGGTTTTCTTGCAGGTGTTTACATGACCCAACTAGGGACACCAGCAGTGCTAACATGAGTGAAGACGTTCCCAAGTTCGGGTAATGAAATGTCCATGCCAGAGAAACACCCAGCTCAGAGAACACCAAGGAACCCTCAGGGCTGCTGGTGTTTGTGTGCTTGTGTGTGTGATTTTTTTTTTTAATAAAGCCAAAAACGCAGGTTAGGCAGAGGACGCCCCCTACAGACTGTAATGCCAAGGATACTGCGAGGATGGCAGAGGGCCATACACGCCATCATAGCTACGAACGGCCCCGGAGCAAAAGGTTGGTAAGCGAGGACCAGCCGCAAAGGAAGCCAGACGTCCCGCGCGGCAATCGCCGCAGCCTCGTCCAGGGCTTCGGGGAGGGCGTGAAGATCCGGCGTGTCGGCCCGGAGGGTCGAGGCCCCCCCCCCCCACTGGAGCCCCGAGACAGCCCCGCTTCGGGATCAGTTCCTGTCCTGGATCCTTGCAGTGCGCCGATCCTCGCCAGCCCCGCGGAGTGGGCCGGCGCCCGCGCCGCATCCTGAGCCGCGCGCACCGGTCCCCGCCCGGCGCCGCCAACTTACCGGGGGGGCGAGAGAACGACCAAGTGGGACGCGACTCGCAGGCCGAGACGACCGCGGAGGGCCGCGCGAAGACGAGGCAGGAAACGGCCTTTCAGGCGATCCCGCGCGGGAGCCCCCCCCAACCGGAGGCCGGCTCGCCCCCCCCCCCCGGAGGCAACGGGCCCTTCGCCTGCCGAAGGAAGCCTCGCGAGCGGCTCCCCCGAGCCGGGAGGCACCTGCGCGGCGACGAGTCTCCCTGGCGACGGACGTTGGATCGCGGTGCCGCCGGAGGCACCCGAGGGCCTGCCCCCCCCGGCTGGAAGGCAAGCGCCGCCCCCCCCGGGCCAGACGGAGTGGGACCCCGGAGCCGCCAAGGGCAGGCGGTCGGGCTCGGCTCCTTCCTTCCCCGCGTCGCCCCGGGAGACAGCCAAGAGGCCCCCCATCTCCGGGCGCCCCAGCCTCCGCCCGGAAGGACAGGGAGCCCCGCAAGCCGGCCGCTCTCGGCGGCCAAAAGGAGAGAGGCAGGGCGCCCCCCCCCCAAAGCAGACAGGGAGCCCGTCTGGCTCCTCCGCCCCTTCCCAGCCCCTCCCGCCCCCGGGAGCAGACGCGACACGCGGGCAGGCAGGCAGAGTCCTCCGGATACACAAGGCAGAGGGAAAAAACTTTTATAGCCCGGCCGACAGAACCACGAGGCAATGGGGGGGGGGAAGGAAGGGCTGGTGGTGGAGGGAACAAGTTGGGGAATCAAATGTTGGGGGGACCCCCCCCCTCTTCCCGAGGGACCAACCCCTCCACAGGGGAAGCTTAAGTGCTCCTGCAGAGGGCAGAATTTGCAGCGTCTAATCCAAGGCTGGATTTCGGAAGGTGCCCTGGAGGATAGCACTCGCCCCCCACCTTTATTCTGCACCCCATTTGAAGGCAGGGAATTGTGGGAAATTGCTCCCCTCCATTGTTTGGGTACCAGTGGCTCTAGTGGGGGGGGGCTTTCCAAATGTTTGCAACCTGCAAAACGGCACCAGCCCACTCCACAAAACAGACACACAAAGACACACCTGCAGAGTCAGTGCAAAAGGAGAGCGGGGCAGAAGGGGAGGGGGCCTGCTGCTCAGGTGGATGGACGGATCGGCCCCCTCAGCGATCTGCCCCCTCAGCGCAGAGAGAGGGGCTGGGGGCCAGGGACAAAGCCAGCCCCCATCAGTCTCTGGGGAGGGGAAGCTGCTGCTGCTGCTGCAGCCGGTGAAAGTGCTGGGGAGGGGCCCAGGCGCAAGCAGACCCTTGGCAGGAATACAAAAATAAAATCTCTAGGAGCCCTTGGGGGAAGCGAGGGGGGGCAAATGCCGGAGCGCCCTCCTGCCAGTCCAGCTACTTGATGCCAAAAGTCTTGGGGGGGGGGATTTTAAAAAAGGGGGGAGAGAGCCTCTCCATCCTGTTCCCAGGTTAATTCGGCTTCTGCTTCTTTACTCGATCCGGGGGGGGGGGCAGGGCTGAAAGGAGCCCCAACAGCAAAAGCAGCCAGTCTGCCCCCCTGCAACCAAGGCAGCTGTCTCCACGAAAGATTGTGTCCCCCGGGCACGGCGGGAAAGACAGAGTCACAAGGCCGCTGCCGGGCAAGAATCGGATCCCTGAAGGCCGAACGGGTGGACGGACGGACAGAGGACTTGCTGGCACCCTCCTGGGCATCTGGAGGCGCCAATGACTCACGCAACATCCACAGGCAGGCAGAGCAACGCAACAACACCGAGTTGTTTGGGGAAAGAGCTGGCAGCGCCGTCCTTCGTGGGAGAAGCCCCCCGGCCCAGGAATCACATGCAGACCACCTGCCTCCTGTGGGCAGAAGAGAGGTGGCCATCGCTTCTGCAGCCGCGGCAGGAGGCAGCCAGGCCTGGCCCGAGAATGACCCCCCCCCATGGCAGCAGGCAGGGCAAGGAGGCCAAGATCGGGGTGGGGGGAGGAAACTCACTTCTCCGCCTCAATGCTGCCCCCGTCCCTGTCGCAGCTGCCGGCTGTCTCCCCGGCATCGTCCTCATGGAGGTCCATGTTCAACTCGTTCCCAGCCTCGTGAGGGTAGGTGGAGCCACTGGGGGGGGGACAAAGGGGGCTCAGAACCCGCCCAGAGGCCGGGAGAGCCGGGGACCCCTGGGGCCTCCCCTGCCCCTTCCTCACCTGATGGAGCGACAGGTGAAGAAGACGATCCGCTTCAAGCGCTTGTTGTAGAAGAAGTAGTTGAAGGACCACAGGCTGCCCTCCTCCCCAAAGGGGTCCGAGTCCAGGTCCGGGTTGTAGCTGCGGCACAGAGGGTGAGCTGCTGTTGCTGGGGGGGGGGCTCGCTTGGGGATCCCCCCTCCCCTGCCCACCCCCCAGGGCCTCCCGCTGGCTCCCACCTGTAGATGTCGCACTCGGAGAGGCAGATCTCCTGGTCCACCGCGTCCCACAGGTGAGGCTTCAGGGCGGTGAAATCTTCCCGGACGGCGGAAAAGAGGCTGCAGTTCACGGCATTCGCCACCTGAAAAAGACCCCTAAATGGACACTTCCCGGAGTGCAAGCGGGACCTGGCGTCCCTGGAAAGGAGACGGTGGCCCGGGAGGAGGAGGCCCCAAGCCTTTCCAAGGGAGGCAGAAGCTGATGGAGGAGCTCATGCAGCATTCCAGGAGTGGCCTGGCCTGTCACGCTCACCCCAGGCTGCCTTGTCAGAAACCATCTCCGGATTAAGTACGGAGGACGGCAGGGAGAAGGTGCCTCCTCCGAGACCCGGCCAGGCCGGATGACAGCGGGAGGAACACGGGCAGGAAGTGGGACAAAGCAGCCGAGGGCTGGCCTCTACTCCTCCAAACAAGAGCGGTGGCCCTGCTGGGGAGACGCCCAGTGTGTGTATGTGGGGGGGCTCCGCTGTGGAGCTCTGTGGAGCTAGGCCAGAACTGGCAACGTCCTGCGTGCTGAGTAACCTCAGGGCCGTTCAGGCACAGGAGGGGCCCTTCTCTCCTCCTCAAGCTCTCCCAGCCCCCTCACCCCTGGAGGTCTCTCCCGGGCACCCACTCAACTCCTCGGGCAAGCAGACTCGGGACGGAGCCTTCCGGCTGGTCGCAGCATGGGCTGCCCTGCCGGCGCAGAGGGCGAAGGACCCGCTTACCCAGTTGAGGCTGGGCTCCCGGCTGAACTCGTGGCTCTTGGCCGCGCTGAAGTCGTAGTCCGGGCGAAAAGATTCGTTCAGGGTGGCAATCAGGTAGAAGAGGGTCTTGCGGCTGCACTTGTCACTGAGGGGGCCCTCTTCGTCTCCACTCTGGCTCTTGCTGAGCCTGGCACGAGAGACACAGCGCTTGGGCCCCTGCCGGCTTTGGAGGGCGCAGCTGGGGTCTCGCCGCAATCTGGACCCTGCTAAGCTCAGCTGGAGGGAGGGGGGGGCTGAAGAGACGCTGCCCCAATCTCCCAACAGGGACTGGGCAAAGCAGCCTTTGGACAGAGGCTTCTTCTAAGGAGGCTGGCCGTCCAGCCGCTGGCCTGGCCTAGAAGGGGAGGCTGGGAAGAGGCCCCTTTGCTCTAACCCCTCCCCCCTCGCTCTTCCGCCTCCAGGGGGAGCCCTGCTCCCGCAGCTCACCGGTGGTGCAAACCAAGCACACCTTTCGAGGAGGACGGCCTTTGCACGGGAGCCTCGCCCTGGGCAGGGAGCACGTACCGGTTAGGGCTGATGCCGGTGGTCTGGGGCGGTGACAGGGCCTCCAGGACGTGTGGCTGACCCTCCTGGCAAAACTGCTTGAAGAGGTGCTTGTCGTCCCCAGCCATCTTGCACGAATAGCTCTCTATCCTGCAGGGAGAGAGAAACGGGTCCCTGTGAGCCCCGAGGCCAGCCCTGCCTCCGCCCCCAGCCGAGGTGCCTGCGGGGCCGTCACCTCCTCCTGAGCCAGGCGCCTGTTTTTCAGGGAAGGCAAGGAGCCTTATCTCTTCAGATTAAAATGGCTGACTGCACAGGGCACGTGCCAGAGGGTGACCCTTCTCGGCTGCTGTATAGGCCAGAACCTTAACCAAAGGGGCCTCCAGCCTCCTCCTATACCTTTAGACACATCAGCAAGGCAAATCAGCAATAAGTCAGAATAATGCTTCGTTCATTCCTTTGTTCAGAGTTGCCCAATGGCGAGATGGGCAGCATATAAATTTAATAAATAATAATGTCATTGACTGCTCTGCATCAGGATGGTTTTTCAGCCGCAAGGGATCTGCCAATTCTTTCTGACGGCCCAATTTTAAGGCAGATACAATTGGGGGCACAGCCACAATTCCTAAGGAGTCCTAATTAAAAAGTTGCAACTGCAAAAGGAGAAGCACAGAGCAAAGGAGGGAAGTGGTCTAGATCAGTGTTTCCCAAACTTGACAATTTTAAGGCATGTGGACTTCAACTCCCAGAATTCCACAACCAGCGTTGCTGGCTGTGGAATTCTGGGAGTTGAAGTGCACATGCCTTAAAATTGTCAAGTTTGGGAAACACTGGTCTAGATGGTCCCTGACAGCAGAGAAACGATCAAATTGCCAACAATTCCAGCGAGGAGGAAGTGTGAAGTTGCCAGTGTGATTACACAAAGGGTTTAATAAAGATGCCGTATGAAAACAAAAGATGACGGGAATTAAACAGAAAGCTGGGAGAATTAAGGAAGAGAACCAACTGTAGGCCGGTCTCAGGAAAGAGAAGCAGCTGAAGTCAGCAAAAGTTGCTGGAAGAATAAACGCTCACAACCAGACAGGTTCACAATCGCCCCAAAAGGAGAATCTCGCGGATGGTCAGCAGAGGAGGCCAAAAGGCAGAGCAGCTGCTTTGGTTCAAGGGGCTGTTCACAGAATCACCTAACGCAGTGGTGGCAAACCTATGGCATGAGTGCCAGAGGCGGCACTCGGAGCCCTCTCTGTGGGCACGCACGCATGCCATGGCCCCAGCCCTGCAGCCCCCTGGAGGAGAGTTGCTCCCGGGTGTGGCCCACGCAGAGCAGCACAGCCAAGCACATGGCAGCTGGGTAGCAGGGACAAGACTCCACCCTCACACCCAATTGTGTGCAGATGCTGCTGCAGGGCACGGGCGGAGGGCATGACCACCATGGCGCTGCAGGGCCGCCTGGGCAATCTGCGGCAGGCCTTGGGGGGGCAGGGTGGGGGCGGGCCGGGGGTGAGGCAGTTTTTAGGCACTTGGTCTCTAAAAGGTTCGCCATCACTGGCCTAACGGGTGGGTGGTGATGGAGGGGGGGCTCTTTGAAAGGAAGGGTTCTAGCACAGAATTGACACCAATTTACTAGGCTCAGTAAGTCATATTAATTATGAAAACCTTAATTGAAGACTCATATTACAAAGCGCTCTACCAGAAGATGGTAGAGGACAGGAAGACCTGGAGGAACGTTGTCCATGGGGTCGCAATGGGTCGGACACGACTTTGCAATTAACAACAACAACATTACAAAGCGCGCGGGTCTCCCCCCCCGTCCTTTCCTGCAAAGTAGCCGCCATCACCTGCCAATAATGTGCACGTCTCCCGTTTCCACTGTCAACTGGGAGTTGATGGCTTCAAAACTGGAGTTTTCCAACAACTTCATTATTGCACTTCCTGGTGCCAAAGCAGTCTTCGGTACTTTGCTGTGCAGTTGAATTCCCTGGCAGAGAGAAAGGAGAGACCCCCTGGTTAGAGACCCCTCAGGAAAAGGAAGAGAGCGATGTGTGATTCAGCCAGGGGAAGGAGGGGGGAATCCCCGGCAGGGCACTCTCCTTACAGTTTGGGATGGCGCATCAAAGCGGCTTTGGGCCTCAAAACCTGCCCTCAAAAGGGGAGCAGATTTGGGATGGGAGGGTGGAAACGGACGGGCCGAGCAATGCCCTGAAGAGAACCGCAGAGATCATCAAAAGCCTTAAGAAGAACCCGTGCCAGCTGTGCCCTCAGAGATCCCCTCAGCTGCCCCAGAAAACAGCTACAAGGCAAGACGACATGCAACTTTGCTTCCGGCATTCTTCTCCGCAGTTGGGAAAGTCCACATTTCCGGTCAAGATAGGAGCAAAGCTCTCCCTTGTTGGGGTCAGGAGGCTGCTGGGGCGCCAGTCACGTCTCTTCAAGAAGAGCCTCCTTCCTCTGCTGCCTTGCTTAAAACATTTGGCCCCTGCCTCCTTGTTAGTCTCAGTTCAGAAGCTTAGCATAACAGCAAAAAGCCAGAGCACCAGGCCTGCGAGTCTTTCTAGAGGTGGTGCTTTTGGCAGCTGGAGAGGAGCAAAAGGCCCAGCTCAGCCACACAGCCACCCCTGCTTGAGAGCTCAGCCCTCTCTTCAAGAGGACAGGGCAGGCTGCCCAAGGGTCCTCCTGGGAACTGATGGACGCCCTCGAAGGTCTCCAGGCTGCCTTGGGGAAGCCCCTCCCCCACGCCCTGCTGGGTCAGGCCCTGGGCTCAGCAGGCAGGCAGGGCTGCTTGGGGTCTCAGCGGCCCCGGCTGGGTTTAGGGGTGTCCCCCTTCCCTTACAGAGCCAGGCTGTGCTGGCTGGAGTCAGGTCTCCGAGGGACAAGCCTGGGTGGGGCACCTCTATTTGCGGGGCATTCAGCGTGCAGCTCCAAAGCGGTTCAGTGGGTTCCGTGGACCCCAAGATGGGACGACGTGCACTTGGTGGAGTCAGGACAACAGCATTTGAAGGGACCTTGGAGGTCTTCTAGTCCAGCCCCCTGCTCAAGCAGGAGATCCTAAATCATTTGAGACAAGTAATAATAAAAATAGTAGTAGTAGTAGTAGTAAAGTTGGAAGGGGCCTTGGAGGTCATCTAGTCCACCCCCTGCTCAGGCAGGAAACCCTACACCATTTCGGATAAATGGCTGTCCAGTCTCTTCTTAAAAACTTCCAGTGTTGGAGCATTCACCGCTTCTGGAGGCAGGCTGTTCCACTGATTAATTGTTCTCACTGTCAGGAAGTTTCTCCTTAGTTCCAGGTTGCTTCTCTCCTTGGTCAGTTTCCATCCGTTGCTTCTTGTCCTGCCTTCAGGTGCTTTGGAAAATAGCTTGACTCCCTCTTCTTTGGGGCAGCCCCTGAGATATTGGAATACTGCTATCATGTCCCCCCTTGTCCTTCTCTTCGTTAAGTGACTGTCCAGTCTCTTCTGAAAAGGCTCCAGTGTTGGAGGACCCACAACGTCTGGTGGCAAGCTGTTCCATGGGTCAATTGTTCTCAGTGTTATGAAATTCCTCCTTTGTTCCAGGTTGCTTCTCTATTTGGTCAGTTTCCTTCCGTCGCTTCTTGTCTTTGCTTTCTGGTGCTTTGGAGAAGAGCTTGACGCCCCTCCCCTTCTCTGAGGCAGCCCCCCAGTTACTGGAGTTTCGGGGTCGCGCAAACGCCCCGCGGGTCGAGCTAGGCCACCCTCCCGCGGAGGGAGGCGCTGCCCAGCGGGCCCATCCAGGGCAGCCCGAAAAGCCCGGCGCTGCCGCAGCCACCGGTCCGCTCGAGCCGCAGGCGGGACGGCCGAGTCGGCAGGCCGGGGCAGAGCGGCTGCGGAAGGCTCCGCCGGTGAAAACTACCCTTCCCGAGATGCCTCGCGCGGAGCAGTCCTCCCTCCCACCTCCCGGGTCCCCATGATGCCGCGCGCGCGCTGCCTGATTCCGCCTGGGCGCGGGGCATGCCGGGCGATGTAGTCCCGCGGCTGAGGGGCTTCCCGGAGCGCCGTTACTCGCCTTCCGCGGGCCGCGTCCGCCTGCGATCCCGGGGCTCAGGGGCTGAATGCCGTCGAGGGGCGCAGTCTCCCGGAGGAACGCGAGTCGGGCGCCGCCGTCGCCTCGGCGGCCACTCTTCGCCTCCAAGCGGCTTGCCGGAGCCCCACCCGCCTCGACATCTCCCCGGCTGGAAGAGCCACCGCGCCGTAACCGCCCGGCTCCCGCCAGCAAAGCCCTCGACTGGACGCTTCTCGTTCGGACGGGCGACAGACGATAACAGCAGCGGAAAGCCGCGCCCTTCTCGTCGAGAATTGGACACCCGCCAGGCTCGTCGCTCTGATTGGAGGAATGTGGCGCCAATCGCCGGGAAGGGAGGGCTCAGTGGCTGCCCTCTGCGTCAATCCGCCTCAGCGTCCCGCCTCCGAGGCAGAGCCCGCCTCCCATTGGCCGGGGCTTCAAGGGCGCGGTGTCGTCGATCAGGGAACAAAGGCGAGGGGGCGGCTGCCATTCAAGGCTTTCGCCCCGCCCAGCGCGCGCCCTCCCTCCGCTTGAGCGAGGGCTGGGGAGGGGGGCGTCCCGTCAAAGAGGGGATTCGAGGGCGTCCGGAGGCGCCGGGCTGAAAGTCCTTGCTTGATCTAAAGAGTCGGGGTGGGGCTGAAGGTGTGTGTTTGTGTGACACAGACACCGCCGGAAGGGAACACATACACAAAGGCACACCTGTACACATCAATTTATGCTTCCTGGGGGCATCTAAAAATTCCAGAATTCTGCAAAGAGTTCCAGAAGCCACATTCCACGTGTTCTCTCCCCCTTTGTTAATCAGAAATAGGAAAGTTGTCTGTTTACAGGTAGTCCTCAACTTACAACCACAACTGAGTCCAAAATTTCTGTTGTTAAGTGAGTTTTGCCCCGTTTTACAACCTTTCCTGCCTCCATGCCAAGTGAATCCCTGCAGTTGTTAAGTTAGTGACACGGTTGTTAAGTAAATTTGGCTTCCCCACTGACTTTGCTTGTCAGAAGGCTGCAAAAGGGGATCACACTGCAACCGTCATAAATAGGAGCCGGTTGCCCAGATTTTGATCATGTGACAATGGGCAACAATGGTGGTCAGTTCTTCCAGTCCCTTTGCAACTTTGAACATCACTAAATGAAGTACGGCAATTGGAGAGCTCCCTGTAGAACACAAAAAGCTGCTCTCTGGGGACCTGTGGCGGGAGATGGGCACTGCCAGGGCAGCCAGCGTGCCATAGAGCCTCTCCCGGTGCTCCTTCTTGCTGACCTAACCTTTGGCAGCAGCACCTCTCAAAATGCGATGGCAGCTTCCAAAGAGGAGCAACTGAGGTGGCAGCTGGGCCAGTTGTGTTCCCCAGGGGACAAAGGAGCACCAGGGGCCAGTACAGGGCCCGCCCCACTGTGTGTGTGGGGGGGAGGTCACAGTAACAAAGATGACCATTGCAGCCAAAATCAACCTACAGGTAGCCCTCCACTTAGGATCACAATCTTGGTCCTCCAGTGGTGTGGCTGTTATGACGAGTGCCATAGGATCACTTTGCTCAGTGCCCCCAGTCCTGGTCTCTCCTAGCAGTGGTTAAGTAGGTCATTAAGTGGAGTGCCAGGGGGAGAGCCCAGGCCTCCTGGGCGTGGTGGGGCAAGGAATGGGGCTGGGTGTGATGGAATGTAACGGTCTGGATTACAGAAGAGCAAAAGATAGCTGGGTTCAGACACTTTGTGTGAGAGAAAGAGGGCGAAGGTGGTTCCTCCCTAAGGGTTCCCAGAGTAGGCGCTTCACGTAGGGGGGAGTCTGCTTCAGTTTGGCAAGATTCTGTCTAGAGGTGTGGTCGAATAAAGGAGTCTGCTTGGAAGCCTCACCCTGGTTGATTCTTGGTTTTTGGAGTTTGACCTGAGGCCTCCCACCCCACCTGGAGGGCCGGGCCCTGTCCTAGCCCCACCAGGGAGAAGAGTCACGAGAATGATAGAGTTAGCTAGGCTTTTCACCAGATTTGAGGTCTGTTCTTCCAAAGGTGGAAGGATTTCTCCTCCCTGTGTGAGGGGGAGGGGAAATCCCTCAGTGCATTGGGGGAACTGACCTCAAATCTAATGACCCCCCCTCCACTTGCAACCTTCCTCAGAAGATTGTAAATGGTGATCACAGGGCACAACGGGTCATCGTCCTAAATGCAAGTATGCTCCTAGGCCAGGGGTAGGCAACCTTGGCTCTTTTATGACTCGTGGACTTCAACTCCCAGAATTCCTGAGCCAGCCCTGCTGAGGGGAAAGGGAGAAGTTTCCAAGCTGAGCCCTGCTGGCTCAGGAATTCTGGGAGTTGAAGTCCACGAGTCATAAAAGCTAACGTTGCCTACCCCTGGCCTAGGTGCTTGAGTTCCTGTCATGGGATTGGGGGAGGAATGTTTTATGATGCCTGGAAGGTGCTTGAGTTCCTGTCATGGGATTGGGGAAGGAATGTTTTATGATGCCCGGAAGTGGTTTTGCGGGCTGTAAAGCAGCCTTCCTTGACTGGGAACAGTGATTGCCAAATCCGAGGTGGTGTAGCTCAACAACAGCAGCAAACCCCTGGTGTGTCGAGCGTGGAACAGAACGTGAACTTCTGATGTAAAAATGTTATTTTATAGTTGTAAATAAATGGAACAACCTGCCTCCAGAAGTTGTGAATACTCCAACACTGGAAATTTTTAAGAAGAGATTGGGCAACCATTTTGTCTGAAATGGCATAGGTTTCCTGCCTAAGCAGGAGGTTGGACTAGAAGACCTCTAAGGTCCCTTCCAACTCTCTATTCTATTCTATTCTATTCTATTCTATTCTATTTCAAGTTAAGCTAAGCAAGAAAGTCAGTCAGTTTCCATGACTAAATTGTATTAATTCATTCAGGTTTTATAAGGCTGCCCAACTCAAACTATGTGCTACAGAGTCATATTTTATTACGTATTTATGTTGTACATAAAGAGCATAGTATAAATACACAATAAACCAGAAAGAAAAAAAACAGCAAAAAACATACAAATTCTAAAATCTGTATATTTTATTTATTGATATCCCACTTTTATTATTTTTTATAAATAAGGAGATCAACATACCTAATCCCTTCTGCTATTTTCTCCACAACAACATTCTTGTCAGTAGCCAAAGTAACTCAGTCGGCTTTCATGCATAAAGCAGGACTAGAACTCTCCTTCTCCTGTTTCTGGCCTAGTGCTTTCACCACTAGACCAAACTGCCTATTTTAATATGTGAAATGGCAACTGAGCACACAACCAGCAACTTTAAGGGAGATTCCCACATACTGACTCCTAAGGCCTGGGCGTTTTCCTAAGCATGAGGAGAGTTGGGGTCTGCCGCTTTATAAATCCTTAGTCAGACCACACTTGGAATACTGCAATCCTGTTTTGGTTGCCAGGATATAAAAAAAGATGCTGAGACTCTGAAAAGACTGAAGAGAAGAACAATAAAGATGATTAGGGGACTGGAGGCTAAAACATACAAAGAACGATTGCAGGAATTGGGTTATGCCTAGTTTAACGAAAAGAAGGACCAGGGGTGACATGATAACAGTTTTCCAATATCTCAGGGACTGCCACAAAGAAGAAGGGGTCAACCTATTCTCTGAAGCACCCAAAGGCAGGACAAGACGCAAGAAGCAATGGATATATTGATGGGGTGAAGGGGTGGGGAGATTCAAGATATGATCTTGAACAGGTACCCACCCTTTTCAAGGAAAACATGAGGAATCCCTGTGAGGTTGAGAATCTCATTGATAGAGAACCAGAGGAACTGTAGAATTAACTTAAAGAAACTGTTAAGGGAGAATGTGATGAGAGACTGCCAAAGATGGAGAAGCAGAAGAAAGCAAAGTGAATGTCGGAACAAACCATGGAAATTGCTGAGAAAAGATCAGAAGCCGAAGCAAGGAAAGATAAAACTCTCAGGAAAGAGCTTCACAGAATTTCAGAATGTTAGAAGAGACAAAGAAACAGCATTACAGCTTCTGTAAAGACACCCAGGACAGCAACAGACGTGGAAAAGCAAGGGGTGTCTTTCAAAAGATCTCTGAGCTCAGATCTCAGCTCAAACTGGCATGTAAGAGACATCCAGGGACACCCAGGAAGCAGCCGAAAGGAGATCAAAGGACAAGGGAAGCAAGACCCAGAAAGACGGAGCAGCAGAGATGTCAGCACCCAAGATGCTTTAGGAATAGAATAGAACAGAATAGAATAACTGGAAGGGACCTTGGGGGTCTTCTAGTCCAGCCCCCTGCTCAAGCAGGAGACCCTATACCGTCTCAGACAGGTGAATGTCTAGCCTCTTCTTAAAAATCTCCAGTGATGGAGCACCAAGGATTTCTGGGGGTAAGCTGTTCTACTGATTGATTGTCCTCACCGTCAGGAAGTTTCTCCTTAATTCCAGGTTGCTTCTCTCCTTGATCAGTTTTCAACCATTATTTCTCATCCTTCCCTCTGGTGCTTTGGTGAACAATCTGCCCCCCTTTGCCTTGTGGCAGCCCCTCAGATACTGGAATACTGCTATCATGTCTCCCCTATTTCTTCTTTTCTTTACACTAGCCAAACCCAAGTCCCGCAGTTCTTTGTATGATTTAGCCTCCAGGCCTTGGATCATCTTAGTTGCTCTTCTCTGAATTTTTTCCAAACTCTCAGCATCTTTTTTGTGATATGGTGACCAAAATTGGCTGCAGTATTCCAGATGTGGTTTCACTAGGGTTTTATAAAGTAGTAATAATACTTCCCATGATCTTGATTCTATGCCTTGTTTATACAACCCAGGATGTATTAGCTTTTTTTGGTTGCTGCTGCACACTGCTGGCTCATAGTCAAGTGATTGTCCACTAGGACTCCAAGGTCCCTCTCAAGTTGCTGTTTTTAAGCCAGGAGATGCTGTCTGTCCCCAAGAACCTCTAAGAAGAACAAGGGAGACCCCCCCCCCCTCTGGCCATCTCCAAGTCAAAAGGCTGCAAGAATCCAGATGCTGCAAGCAACAAAGGAAGCAGTCAAGGCTGCAACTGAGCTGTGCCAGGAAATCTGGAGAACAGACGGTTAGAGGAGTCACACAACAAACAAAGATCTGAAGCAGGAGATAAAGAGTACAGATAGACCTCGACCTATGACCATAATTGAGCCTAAAATTTATGTGGCTAAGTGAGATAATTGTTAAGTGTATCGCTGAAGCTGTCAAGTTAGTAACCTGGCTATTAAGTGAATCTGCCTTCCCCATTGACTTTGCTTGGAGAAGGTTGAGAAAGGGGATCATGTGATCCCAGGATGCTGTGACCATCATAGATACGAGTCAGTTGGCAGGTGTCTGAATTGTAATCACGTGACCGTGAGGAATGCTGCATGGATTATAAGTGTGAGAAACGGTCCTAAGTCACTTTTTTCAGTGACGTTGTAACTTTGGCCGGTCACTAAGCAAACTGTTGTAAGTCGAGGACCCCTGTAGTCAGGCGATTGGGCCGCTCAGCACATCGTGCGCAGCCGAGCGGAGCCATCCTTGCGGGCTCCAGCGATGCTTGCTCGGGCACCGGGGGCTGCAGAGGGTCGCCTCTGGGCGGGTGGTGGCTGACAGGGCCAGAGCCGGGCGCGGGCCCGGGAGAGGCCGAGCAGCGGCGCCCCCTTTGGCCTCCTCCAGGCTGGCGGGCCGGGCAACCTCGCCGAGCCCCTTTCCGTCCCCCCCCCCGCCCCCGCCATCGCGGGAGGGCTCGGCCTTGCGTCCGGCGGGAGGCGGGCGAGGCGCGGGACTACGGCTCCCGTCGTGCCCCGCGGCGGCCGCCGGATGAGGCGCCCGCGCTTCCGGGAAAGCGGCGTGCGGGGCTTCCGCTTCCGGCGGCGGCGGCTGCGCGATGGCGGCGGCGCCGGACTCGTCCTCGGCGGCCGCTGCGCCCGGCGGGCTGGTGGTGTTGGCCTCGGCTCGGGCCTTGTCCTCGCCGCCTCTGGCTCCGCCGGGCGCCCGGGAGGCGCAGCGCCTGCTCCGACTCCAGCTGAGCGCGGCTCCCGGCCCGGAGCGCTTCCGCCTCGGCCTGCGCGGCGGCCCGGACTCCGGCCCTGAGCCGGTGAGGGGGGGAGGAGGGGAGGGGGAGGGGCGCTTCTCCCTCCCCCCACTGCCGGCCGTCCGGGCGGGGCGGGTGAGTGACGCTCTCTCTCTTCTCTCCCCCCCCCGGGGCGGGCGCAGGGCCTGGTGGAGGAGTACGGGCTGCGTGAGATCTCCTACGAGGCCCGGAGCGGCACCTGCCACGAGCTGAAGGTCCTGGCCCGGCCCGACCACCCGCTGCTCTTTCACTTCGAGGACGAGCAGGAGGCGCAGGCCTGGTGGGCGGCGGTCAGCAGCTCCCTCCGCGAGGTGCAGAAAGGTCAGCCGCCGGCCGGAGCCCCCTCCCCGGATTCCCCTCCGCCGCCCGGCAGGAGAAGGAATCGCGGGCCGAACCGAAGAAGCCCCGCAGGGAGGCGCCGCCTCCGGAGGAGGCCCGAAGCGGGGCTCTCGCTGCCTGCTGCGCCGGCCCCCTACCTGGAGCGGGTCCCGGTTGGCCCCTGGGCTGGTTCTGGCTCCTCGGTTCCTCTGAGGCTTCTGGACCTCAGGCGGAACTCTGGCGGTGGATCCAGGTGGAGGGCGGGCATCCCGGCCAACCGTTGGATCTCCCAGGCGCTTCCGTGGGAAGCTCTTCGGAAAAGTGTCCGGAAACGCTCCCCGCTTGGCTGGCTTGTTTTAGCCCTGCGGTGGGTCTCCCTCTGAACAGCCCCCTCTGGGCTTCGGAGGATTTGGGGCTCTGCCTGCTCCCTCGCCAAAAGGAGAGCGACCCCCCCCAAAAAACCATTTTCTCTCTCCGGCTCCAGAAGGAAGCACTGGGCTCACTGGACGCCCCCCTGCCCAGCCTTTGGCCACCCCGACCGCCCTTCCCGTGGAGACAGCAAAGAAAGGTTAGCGTGCGCTGCTCCCTAATTGCCACTTATCCCTTCTAGGCTGTCAGATGGTTCAGGATAATTAAATTGAAATACTTGCAGCGATGCTAAGTTTTGGAAACAGAGAAAAATGTGTCCTTTTTTAATCTGAGCAGTTCTTATTTTGTTAGGTCTCTTGGCAGCTCTCCATTTCCTCAACTTTTGTGGATCGTCTGCAAAGGTTGGGGGTGGTTGGCACCATATCCCCCAACTTCTGTGGGCAACCCCAGTTGCGGTCCACGGGGGATGAGCAGGTTGACCTGTCTGCCCCATTTTATTTAATGCCTGCACCTGGGGTGCATTTGACAGTTTGGGGTCCAATATCCTCCACAGGCAGATGATACTCAGACTGAAGGGGAGATACAGGTTGTCCTCAACTTACGATCTCAATTGAGCCCAAAATTTCTGTTACTAAGGGAGACATTGGTTAAGTGAATTTTGCCCCATTTTATGACCTTTCTTGCCACAGATGTTAAGTGAATCACTGCAGTTGTTTAGTTAGTAACCTGGTTGCTACATGAATCTGGCTTCCCCATTGACTTGTTTTGTCAGAAGGTCGTAAAAGGGGATTGCTGCAACTGTCATAAATTTGAGTCAACTGCCAAAAAATTTGATCACATGACCATGGGGATGCTGCAGGGGTCATAAGTGAGAAAAATGGTCATGTTACTTTTTTTCAGCGCCTTTGTAACTTCAGACAGTCACTAAACGAACTGTTGTATGTCAAGGATCACCTGTATAGCAGAAGTCTATAAGGTCTCGGTGGGAAGAAACAGATTAAGACTTAGAGTGATTAATCCTGAAATCAATTCTGGTTATTAACTAACTCTGATAGTTCTAGCTAAAGGTAGAGCTTGCGTGATCTCGAGGTTCCCCAGGAGTCAGAGCTCCTGCTGGATCAGTACCTGGAAGCTGTGGTCAAGAGAGCCCTTGGCCAGTTTTAACCAGTGAAATCTTTGAGGGCTGCATTGACGGGGACACTGCCTGGGGGGGGGCTCTGAGGAAGCAGTGAAAGGGCTGTCTAGATGATCTTCTGCCAGCTGGAAGCTTGACCTATGCCCACCCTGGCTCTGTGGGGCTGAGGACGCTGAAGTTATCACTGCCTCATTATGTGTGTGTGTGTGTGTGTGTGTGTGTGTGTGTGTGTGTGTGTGTTCCAACAGCTTTGAAAGACATTGTGATTCCTTCCCTCCTGATAAGATCCTCCCTGAATCCATTGGTGTTAAATAAACTATTATCCAGTCACCAAACCTTTGAGAGAATGTTGTTTGATCCACTGGAGGCATATTAAATATAGTATGGAGAAGTCATTTTACAAGACCACCAACCATACTCAGAAGGCACATTTTCTGTCTGGAATTTTAAAAAAAACAATCTGTAAAATATCATTAAAATTCACTCCATCCCAATGCACAGAGTGGCTAACAGTGTCCCTTTGATTCTGGGTTACCATAGAATCTATGGTATAACTATAATGCCAATTCACTACTGGCTCTGGGCACGTGCAGATTAAAAACAGACACAACCCCTAAAACCAAACCATACAGAGCTCTAAGCTTTATTTAAACTGCATGGTTTGCCTCCAACCCTGTTCAGGTGGGACTTAGGTAAGAGACTGAAAGGGCACTGATCCATCTTCCTGTTTTGCAGAGATTCCACTCCTCCTTCAGCACGTGGGCTCCATCGGTTGTAGAGGGGTGGGGAGGTGGCTCTGGTGGTCTCCATCTTAAAGGGGTTCCATGGGGATCAGCCGTCTCCCCTGTTTGGCATTCGATATTGTCCCCACTCTGAACTGACGAGTGTCAGGGTCTGGATGAGAATAGAATGGGCTGAAACTGAACCCTGACGAGATGAAGATGCTGCTTGGCTATCAGGCTTCCCCACTCAGACCCATGTTATCTCTGGATGGTCAGAAACTGTCCTGATGGAAGAGGTTTGTCCTCCAGACTCACCACTGTTGCTGGTTCAGGGGAGAGACCGTGGCTCAGGAGCCTTTGCCCACCTTTGGGTGGAGCCCCAGTTGTGTCCTTACCCTAGAAAGGAGGACCTGGTGGCTCTGTAGCTCACACCCCTGTTTAGACGGCTGCAGTGCGCTTTACCTGAAACTAAAGAGCGCTTGGATGCTCAGCCACAGAGCCCAGCATGATGGGCTGGCTGGTTTCTGTCTCTGGGAATGTATTGTGCATATCCGCAGGCCCGCACCGGCTGCTACCTATTAGCATCTGGGTGTCATTTAAAGTCCTCGGGTTTTTTTAACCTATAAAGCCCTTTATAGCTTGGCTCTCACCTGAATGGTCCCAGCCTCTTAGATAATCCAGGGAAAATCTGCTTGTGGTTCCCTGTCCTTCAGGTGATATAAAGGGAGCTGGAGGCAGCCACTGCCCACCGGTATGGTCATTCTGTACAGTTCAGGCTGCTCCAAGAGCCTTCAGGAAAAGGTTGAGGATGCGGCTCTTCTGGGGAGGGTGGGAACCTTCGGGCTCATCCTTTTGTCCTTATTTCCCTGTTAACGATTTTTTAAGCTTACCAAGGATGTTTAATGTTTGCTTTCTACAACGTGAGCAGGGTACAAGCCAGAAGTACAGTAAACAAATGATAGTCTCCTCCTTGCTTCCTCAGAAGACCTGGTGGTCCATCTTTCTGCAGCCATCGAACTTGGAAACGAGGAGGAGGCCATGCGGTGCGCTTCCTTGCTTGCCCAGCAGCACACAGCCCTGCACATCCAGCTGAAGGAGTCCTGCTACCCTGCCAGCCAGATCAGGTGAGTCAGGAGGGAGGGAGGCCTCCTTTGCAGGTGGCTCTTCCTGTTTAACCGGTGCTCACTTCCTCTTAGCATGAAGGTGCAAGTGGAAGACGCCTCCTGCTCCGCCAACATCACGGCCCGGGTCCACACGCACACCACAATCGCTGCCCTCAGGCACCAGGTACTCGGCTCGCTTCGTCTCCCCTCCGGGATAACCTCTGGAAAGGGGGCGTTGGGCTGACTTGTGGGGCAGGGCTTGGTTGACGGTCCGGTAAAGCGTGCTTGGAAGGCCTTCTTAGGCCCTGGAGCTGTGCAGCCCCCATGTGCCCGCCTGCTTTGCCCACCAGGTCTTTCAGGATTATGGATTCCACCCCACTGTCCAGCGCTGGATTATTGGGCAATGCCTGTGTGTGGACAACCGAACGGTTGGGTCCTATGGAATCCGGAAGGATGGCGATACGGCCTTCCTCTACCTGCTCTCAGCTAAGGGAGCCAACCTCTCCGAGCAGCGTTACAAGGAGGACAAGGACTGGGTGGTGCTCCAGCCACCCCCCTCCTCCATCCCTGGCAGCTCTGACGGCCGGCACAGAGGCATAGCCAGTTCTTTGCCGAACAAAGGTGAGCTGGGAAACCACGTCCTTCCCCCCCCCCCGGAAGAAGTTTGTGTGCCAGCGCTGGCCTTCACCCCCTGCTTGGAAGGTGGCCGGGCTGATGCCAAGGCTTTTCTGCCCACAGGCGGGAAAGAGCCCAACAGGAAGACGGACATTGGAGAGATCACTCGCTTCCTGGACTCTGTGCATATGAGTAAAATCCTTCCGTGCCGCACTCGATCCCCCACGATCCCAGCTGCTGGCCCCAATTCTCCTGTGCAGGTAGGTAGATCCTGGGGCGGGAGTTGGCTCCCCTCTGCCCCCAATCAGCTGACATCTGACCCTTGCCCGCGTGCCTTGCTCTCCCGTGGACAGCCTTGACTCACTGCTGCCCGGCAGGTGACACTGAGGCAGGGCTCCCTCCCTCCCTCCCTCCCTCCCTCCCTCCCTACTCTACCCAGGCCGGCTGGTCATGTCCCACCTGCACGTTCATCAACAAGCCCACCCGCCCCGGCTGCGAAATGTGCAGCACTGACCGCCCTGCTGGCTATGTGGTCCCTGGGAGCTACCGGCCAGACGAGGTGGAGCGCTGGCGGATGCAGCAGGAGAAGGAGGGCATCCTGCAGTATCAGAAGGTAGGCTGTTTGCAGTGGGAGTAAGGATGGGGTGGGGTGGGGAACCCCTTCTCTTTGTTGGAAGCATTTTGCCTCATAGGCAAAAGAGCTGGCCACCTGTCTCTGCCTGGGCTCGGGCCTTCCACCCGCTGAAGCCCCACCTTGCTGAAGCAGCTCCCACTCAGCCTGGGAGAGACTGCAGATCGGCCAATGCAAGGCTGTGTTTTTAAAATGCCCAATTCTTAAAAGTTTGAATTGTAGTCTGTGCTCCTTCAGCAGTGTCAAGGCAGTGCAAGCACACATTTCCCCAAGGCTGGAAGAGCAGGCACCGATCCTTGCTCCAGAGGGAGGTTTGCAACCCTGGGAGCGCTTCCCGTGAGAGTGTGCAGAGTGTGGGTGTGTCAGAGCCCTCCCTTGGGGGCCTCTCCAGAAGGGCCTCCCCTTCCGCAGATCTCAGTGCTGGAACTCCCTTTGTGGGGGAAGCAGCACCTGGGCCAGGCCAGGCCTCTCAAAATCAGCCCCCACCCCAGAGACAGCTGTGTCCGGGGAGCAGCTGCAACCAGCCCAGGCCTTTCTCCATGCTGGCATCTCAGGAGGCAGCTCCCAGCCCCCTTTTGGGGACACTTCCACGGAGAATGAGGGGGGGGAGGTCGGGCTGGGAGGTCGGCCGGGGTGGGAACGGTTGCCCAGTTCAACAGGCTGAGGAAGAGGCATAGCGCGTCCCAGGCGGCTGTGGCAGGTGAAGGCTGAGTGGTGGGGAAAGAGGACTGAGCCGTCTGGTTTCAGGTGGGGGGGGGAGTCTCCTCCAGTGGGACTGTACAGAACTCGGGATGGTGGGACTCGTAAGGACCGGCGTAGATGAGCGTTGTGTATTATTAAAGCTTTCTGTATACAATTGGAAACGCCACGTGCGTTTTGTCTTTTTATAACTCCTGTGGCTTTTGCGAAAGCGACCTTTGCAGTTTCTGTTAACGCTTTGTGTAGAAGCCTTCTACTATGTTGTTGTTTTATTTTATGCGGCATCCTGTACCCTGCAAGAATTTCTCCATCTTTGAGGCTTCCAGGGGGACTGTGGCCCCCGACCAGGCTTGTGGGGAGGGAGGCAGCGGTTCTCAGGGCCCCCGATGACTCTCTTCTCTTCTTTCTTTTTTCTCTTGTGGCAGGAAAAGGGAAGGAGAGAGGACAGTCCAGCCGTGCCCTATGCCCACAACCCTGGGCCCCTGGACGACTTCATCCACCTCTCCTCGGAGTTCTCGTAGCTGCACTCGCAGCCCTGCCCAGCTCCTCTGGCGCCACAGGCTCTTGGCCCCGACCGAGGCGGGCAGCAGAGCCCTCCTTTGAGAGAGAGAGAGAGAAACGGGCATGGCCCCGAGGAGGGCCGGGGGGGGGGCTACGCTTGGCCTCCGTTCCTTTACCCAAAGATTCAGGCCAGGGTTGCCGTCCCCTGTTGGGACTGGGAACCCCCTGGGGGGCCGGGTTGCAGCCAAAGGAAGTGGGAGGACAGGCCAGGCTGCCAGTGGGGACTGAGGGCCTCCCTGCCACCCTCCCCAACTGCCTTGTGGAGCTGCTGTGCCTTGACAGGCCGGTCTCTGCCCCGGAAGCAGCCTGAGGATTAGGCCGCATGTGGTGCGAGAGGGAGGCTGGAAACAGAGGTGCCCCGTTGAATTCCTCCACTGCCTCTGTGGGATGTGCTTCGGAGAGTTTTGGCCAGGTTTCTTGGCAGGAGACGGATGGGCTGGGAGGCAGTGGCCCGCTGGGGCCAGGCGTTACTGAGCGTGTCCCAACCCGGGGAGCCCCAGGACCAGGGGACCTTTTCTTGGGGTGCTTGGGCCCGGCCTGCCTGCTGGCGAGCATCAGCAGAGGGCTGAATTCTAGAGAACAAGGGGCTTCCAAGCCCTTCCCTGAAGGTGGCTTTGGGTACCGTTCTGAGATGGGTTAATTTCTGCATCTTGCATTTGAAGTTTTGAAATGAATTGGAGAACTTGTTCCATTAAAAGACGCCTTTGGGCCAGGTGGCCCAGCCAGTGAATCTGCATTGCTTTCTTGACTGAGGCAGGGAGGGAGGGATTCCCCCCCCCCCCATGAAGGCAAGTGGGGAAGACGTCCTTGTGTGGAATTCCCTCAGGAGAAGGTCTGGGGAGCAAAGAGGACCCCTGTTAGAGGGGCCACATTGGATTCAGGGTCACCTTCTGAGGGGTCCCCTTGCTGCTTGAAAGGCACCTTCCCTCGTTGCAGCTGGCATCCCCCCCCCCCAGGGAATCACGTGGCCGAGCTCCTGTGCTGACATCCTCGTGGGAGCTCCCTCTGCGCCTGTTGGGGCAGAAGGGGCTTGAAAGAAGAGGGGGAATGAAGTGGGGAGAGGGAGGGTAGAGCCCCTCCATCCCACCCCCCAAAAAACCCAGAGTCCCTTGACCACAGCTCTTGAATCAATGCGTGGCTGCCTCTCGTGGGTACCAGGTTCATGAAGTCTGGGTGGGTGGATGGGTGGGGAGGAGTCCTGCCTCTTCTGCTGCATAAATTTTAAAAAAAGCCCACCCAGAGTGGGTGAGAGTCGGGCAGCACATACATTTAATATTACAGTTATTGTACAATATCATAGGAAAGGAGCGTAGAGAGTTGCCTTCCCAAGAAATGGATCTGTAGTTTTGTCAGCAAGGATGGCGTTTTTCCACCCCCCCCCGAAAAAAAACCCCAATATCTTTGCTTGCTGTGTACATGCGCTACTCTAATGTACTACCCCCGTTTTGCCATTGCCTGGGTTTACAGGCTAGGATGTAATCTTATGTTTCACAGCTAAGTGGCTGAATTAACAAATTAACCCTGTTTTCTACCAACCCAGTTAGTTTCTTCTTTTGATCTTCCTCCCCAGTGCCACTCTGAAAGCCTGGATGAGCAACTGCTCGAAAGCCCCACCAGAGCCCCGGCTAGAGTCACTGAAACCCAGAGGAAGTGTGTGTGTGGGGGGGGGCTGTCTGTTTTAGCAAAGGTGTGCAGGAGTGTCAGCACTGCCTGAAAGATTTCTGAACAGACCAGTCTGGCCTCGGGGAGCAAAATGCAAGGTGGGGGGGGAGCATCAGTCCTCGGTCGCTGTGTAAATTGGGCCCTTCTGAGCTGCCAGGGCCCCAGGAAGAGGGTACAGCTGGCCCTGGTGGGAAGCACGGCTGCTTGGCTTCCTCTGGTTCTCAAAAGAAAAGCAACCCTATTGCCTTTTTAAATATAGGTATTCTGCAGGAAAATACGTGCCTTTTTTTAAAACGGAAAGCCGGCAATAGCAATATATAAAACCCCAATCCCAACAAGATGGCTCAAGAGCCGGGAGAGTCAAATGGAAGGATCTGCTTGCTTTGGGAGACGTTTATCCTGGTTGGCTTCAGATAAGTTCACGATCCATTTTGTTTGTTTGTTAAGCCATTGGATGAGCCCAACCTTCGCCAGCAAAGCCGGGGTCCTGGGCAAACTACCTTATCCATGCTGTAGGTCACCCATCCACTGGGATCGGCAAAAATGCCACAATGGGCTTGTTTGACTTGGCATAGAGAGTAATTATTGTGCATCCCAAATTAATAATAAAGTTGAAGGGACCTTGGAGGTCATCTAGTCCAACCCCCTGCTCAGGCAAGAAACCCTATACCACATTTCAGACAAATGGCTGTCCAATCTCGTCTTAAAAACTTCCAGTGTTGGAGCATTCACAACTTCTGGAGGCAGGTTGTTCCACTGATTAATTGTCCTCACTGTCAGAAAGTTTCTCCTTGGATCTAGGTTCCTCCTTAATTCCAGGTTGCTTCTCTCCTTGAGTTTCCCTCCATTGCTTCTTGTTCTGCCTTCAGGGGCTTTGGAGAATAGCTGGACACCCCCCCCTCTTCTTTGTGTGCAGCCTCTGAGATATTGGAAGACTGCTATCATGTCCCCCGTCGTCCTTCTCTTCATTAGACTAGACCAGTGGTTCTCAACCTGTGGGTCGGGACCCCATTTGGGGTCGAACGACCATTTCACGCCAAACAAGGCTGCCCGCCATTTTTTCCCCCTTTTCTTTGGCCACGCCCCTGGCACCCAGTGATGTATAAGTGGTTGGGAGTCACCACAACATGGGGAACTGTATTATGGGGTCGCGACATTAGAAAGGTTGAGAACCACTGGACTAGACAAACCCAATGCCTTCAACTGTTCTTCGTATGTTTCAGCCTCCAGTCCCCTGATCATCTCTGTTGCTCTTCTCTGCACTCTTTCCAGAGTCTCAACCTCTTTTTTACACCGTGGTGACCAACACTGGGTGCTGTATTCCAAGTGTTCAGAAACTGCAACTGCAGGATGCAAAAGCCCCTTGAGCACATTCTGAGCCTCGCCTTCTGCTTTCTTTGCCAGAAATGGAGCTCAGGGGTCTTTTGCATAAACTCTCCTCTGCAACTTCACCATTTAGTTCAATGGGAAAGGTGGCTGTGGAAGGTGTGATCAACCTTCTGGTGCCCATGAATGAGTTGACCTAGTTCACAGGACCTTTTTTTCCCACTGAAGTTTTGGATACCCGTGTTTATCATGGAAAGTGCCGGGGTCACAAGGACGAATATGCAAGAGCCCTTTGTGGGGGGCTGGGCTTGGCTGGAGTGACCCTCTGCTTGGAAGAGCAGTGCCCAGTGTGGGAATCCTGGACCCCCGGGCCAAGGGGCTGCCTGGGAAAGGCAAGTCAGGGTGCAGCGGGGAAGGGGGGGGTCTTGTCTGACTCAAATCAAGCTCCATTGGGGTTGGCTATTAGAAATGGGTGGACCCAGCTCCGGGGCATAATGGGGGCCAGGCAGCTGGAGCCCCCTGCGCTGGTGTGCTGGTTGCTGCTTGGCACTAAATCCTTGAGACCCCTCAATCTGTCCAGCCAGGGCGGGACCCTTGCCTTCCGCTTGGTGAGAGTCTTCTTCAGACTGTCCTCTGCAAATTCCAGTTTTCCTCTAATGACCCCGGAACGTTGTGTTGAGATTTTGTACAGGAGAATATCGTCTTTTTTGCTGGTTATGGCTTCATGAATAACTTTTTTCTGTGCTCCGTCCTTCCCCAACACGGGCCTGTTTCACGTGCTTTAATAGGCAGTGGTGAATTCTATTACCTGCTCTGATGTTATTGGTTCCCTCGGCATCTCGATACGTATATTTTATTGAGCACTCTCCTTTCAGGGCTGCTGTCTGAGTTCAGCTGCCTTGGGCTAGCTTCACAGGGAGCGGGTGGGTTTCAAAGGTGACAAAATGATTCACTGATAAATAAGCAGCTTTTAAAATAACGGTGAAGGGCTCTGGTGAGCAACACTATGGCTTCCTCGTTCTCTCTAGGGAAGCTGCTGCAGAAACGCCCCGGAGCCTTTGTTTTCCCCGCTTGCGAAGAAGACGCCTCCTCGGGCTGAGGCTCAAGCAGGCTGGGCCGGGAATGCCTGGAACACCGAAGGGGTTTCTGTTGTAAACCCCGCTGGCAAAATCTGCCTCCTAGCATCCGATGGGTGCTGTGCCCTCTAGAGGGGCAGAGAAAGGCACCCCGGTCAGCAGTTAGGCACGCATTGCAGGATAACTGGGGGGGGGCAGCAAGGAGGGGGTGGCTCTTGGACCTGAAGTGCCCTTAAGGCTGGCTCCATTGTCATCCCAGCAGCTTCAGCTGCCAAGGCCACAGAGACGTCCCCATTTCTCAGTTGTGCTGCCCTCATCCTGTGCCCTCGCGGGGCCTTCCGTGCCAGAGGGCCCTGGAAAGCTGGGGTGATGCACAGTAGGCATTTCACACAGTTGTGCCAGTAACACTTCCAGGGATTCTGCTCCGAGCCTGCCCCCCTATATCGGAGCCGGTGCCTCCATCCCGCCTTCCTTTTGCAACCCTCGGGCTCTGCTTGTGGGGCGCTCTGCCTTTCAGGCCTCTGGCGGGCTCCCAAAAGGCCTCGGGGGCCACTTTTGTGCCAGCTGCCAAGCCCAGCTTCCTGCCCTTCCTCCTGCAGGCTCGGGAGCAGGAGCGGCGGCAGAATTTCCAGCAGCTGTGCCAGCTGGAGGACGAGGCTTTGGTGCCCAACCAGGAGGAGATGGAATGCCGGATCTGCTACCTGAAGGTGGAGCCGGGCAACGGGGTGATGCTGAGAGAGTGTCTGCACAGCTTCTGCAGGTGAGATGCCTCGCAGGAGGCAGGGCCGGGCCCCACCTCAAGCCCTGCTCTGAGCCGCCCTCTCCTTCCGCAGAGACTGCCTGCGCCAGCTGGTCAACTGCAACCAGGACCCCCAGGTGTCCTGTCCCTTCCGGGACGATTCCTACGCCTGCACCAGCCACCTCCAAGACCGGGAGATCCGGGCGGTGAGTCCAGACCGGGAAGCTGCCAGAGGAGCACCTGAAGGCACCTACAGAGGGTGGCTGGCAAACACACACACACACACACACACACACACATACACACACATACCTCTTGGCAGGCTCTGAGCCAGCTCCTCCCCCTCCGCAGCTGGTGACCTGGGCCGAGTACGAGCGCTTCCTGGAGCACCGGCTGGCTGTGGCCGAGAGCCGGGCGCAGAACAGCTACCACTGCCGGATGGCCGACTGCCTCGGCTGGTGCGTCTACGAGGACGACGTCAACGAGTTCCGCTGCCCCATTTGCTGGGCCCTGAACTGCCTCGTCTGCAAGGTGGGCCCAGTGGGTGATGCCTCGGACCTCCCGCCCTGGCTTGGACTGGGAGCCAGACAAAGTGGGGGAACATTGGCAGGAGGGAGACGCCCCTGAGCGCCCCATTTGCACCCTTCAGCTATGCCTGCTGCTCGTTTGCAGGCTTCTCCGAGACCGGCAGCCAGAAACAAGTCCCCCTCTTGTTTTTCCCTGCGTTGCTCCCCTGCCAGGGATGGCTGGTTCCTAAGGCCCCGGGTTCAAGTCAGTGGACTTGGCAGAGTTGCGGCCCTCTGCCCAGCAGAACAGAGCCCTGACAGAGGAGCCCATCTAAACCTTGCTGGCCAGCTGCAGCTGAAAGCAGGGGGCAGCTGCTCCAGATGGGGACAGGTTCTCACCCCTTGCACAGAGGGGGACCTTGTGGGGTGGAAGGGCTGAGCCTGAAACGGCCTCTGTCCACAGGCCATTCACGAGGGCATGAACTGCAAGCAGTACCAGGATAAGTTACGCTCCCAGGCTCACAATGATGCTGCTGCCCGGGAGACTAACAACATGCTGAAGGTGAGCAGCTCTCCCCCCCCCCCGGGGCCGGCTCCTTCGCCAAGGAGCCCGTGTCTTCCAAGCAGCTGACGGTCCCCTCTGTCCCGGCAGACGCTGGTGCAGCTGGGGGAGGCCATGCACTGCCCCGCCTGCCGCATCGTGGTGCAGAAGAAGGGCGGCTGCGACTGGATCAGGTGCCCCGTCTGCCAGACAGAGATCTGCTGGGTGACCAAAGGGCCACGTTGGGGGCCGGGGGTACGTGTCCTCAGTGGGGAGAAGGCAAGGAGGGCCAAAGTCTTCCTGCTGGGGAGGGGGCTAAGGCACCCCCTGCCCAGGGAGCAGGCCAGGCCCCTCCCTGCTCTTGTGCTGTCCCAAACCACCCAGCCGCTGAGCCTAGTTGTCCTCTGGGGAGCCCACAGGTCTTCTGCCTGGGTCCGATAGTGTGGAGCTCTTGTAACAATGGGCCATTTCCGCATTTTAGAAGGCAGGTGTGTGTTTTTGTGTGTCTGCGCACAAGTGCAAAGACATTTGTGAACAAACCTGAACCAAAACCGCTCTGGCCCCTTCTGACCAGCCTGTCTGATACTTCAGAAAGGGGGAGAGCAGCCCACCTCGGAAGGTGCGGAAGGGGCCACTGGGTCCCCCCCCCCATCCCAAAGGGTCCAGGATAGCTGATGCTGCACCACCTCTGGCCCGCCTGCCCACACAGGGAAGAGCAGCCCGGGAGTTAAGCGCTGGGAGTAAAGCAGGCTGCTGAGCAGGGCCTCTGGATCTCACAAGCTGCTGCCTGCCTCCCCAAAGGCTGGTGGGCCCCGACGCAGCCTGGCTTCTTTCCGCCAATTGCCGAAGCGGCTCCCTTCTGAGCCCCATCAGATCACCTGCCCCAAAGCAGGCAGGGGCCAGGATAGCCAGGCCTCAGGAAGACGGCAGGCTTTGGGAAACCGGGCCTCAGCGTCTCCCAGGGGTGCAGTTGCAGAACACAAAGGGGGCAGGAGGGGGGGGCGTGGGTTTCGACTCTGGCGACACAGAGGGGCCGGGAGGAGGCTGGAGGGAAGGGTGGCCTGCCAGGTCACCCCACTCACTCGTTTCTTGCAGGGCCACGGGGACATCAGTGGGGGCTGCCGGTGCAACGTGAACGGAGAGAGATGCCACCGGCTGTGCCAGAACTGTCACTGAGCACCTGCCAAGAGGAAGTGGCCTCCCCCCCACCCATCTCAACAGATGAGCTGGGTGGAGTTCCACCTGGCTGCTGGGCTCAAGCCCGCTTTATTATTTGGGGGGGGTGTTTCCCTACTTAGCTGTTCCTCCCCTTCCTGGACTCCTAACTGCATGACGGGTAAAAACATGGGCCTCTTTGCAGCTTCGGTAGATGCTGCAACATCAGCCCTGGGCCTCTGGCTCCGCATTTGGCTTGAAACGACAGCAAGTGAGGGATGCCTGCTTTCTGACTTCACTTGAGGGAGGGAGGGGGGGAGTCAGAAAATAAGTCGGTTTTTCCCTCCCTCAAATTATTTAGATTCCTCCCCCCCCCCCAAAGGCTTTAACTGACACTTCTGGGCAACCAAGCTGCAACTATTAAACTTTCAGAGAGTGAAACCAGAAGGAAGGGGGGACTCCCGCTCCAGGTTGCTGCACAGGCGGAGAGAACCTTCCCAATAAAAGAAAAACATGCCAGCCGTGAGCATTGATTCTTTTCAGGGCGGAGGAAGATTTGCAAGGGAAGGGAAACGGGGGGGGGGGCAGGAGTGGCCACAACCTAGGCGAGATGATCTGCAGGCCGAGGGGACTCAGCGTCTCAAGAAAGCAGCTAACGTCTGGTTGAGGAAACACGTTTATTGGGTGCCTGCCACCCCTTACCCCAGGGTCCTCTTGCCAAGGCTGCGAGAGCGACTGGATGAATGGCGGGAGGCATTAAATAGCAGCCAGGGTGCTCGGGAGAAGCAGCCATCCCCCTCCCCTGCCCAGCTGCACGAAGAGCGAAGTGCCATCAATGCTCTGGCATCCGAGACGGGTCTGCCTCATCCAGAGGTCAGTCACGACGCTGGTAGAACATTTTCCTGCTCAGCGCAACCGAAAACTTGTGCTTTGTCATCAAGTACACGAAGGGTATTGCCACGGACGCGATCAGTATTGTCTGGGTAAAGACAGGGGAGGCTGTCACAAGAGTTTCCCTCCCCCCTCCCAGGCATCACCCCCTCCCCACCCTGCAGGCAGCCCTCGGTCCCCACCAGGAAACAGCAGCTGCTCCTGGCTACTCCTGCCTGGCCCATCAGACCACGGCCGGCAAAGAAGACGCACCTTGAGGCCTAGCCGCTTGCGGTCGTCGAATTCTGGTTCCCCTGCCCATCGTAAGAAGGTGCAGACGTCTTTTGCCACCTGCGACATGGTGGCAGGTGTGCCTGTAAAGGAGCAGACCCGGGTGACCACCAGCCCAGTCGAGGGAAAGGCCTCCTACCAGCCCCCCCCCCTCCAGCCCACTCACCATCGTCGTATTCCAGAATGTCATTGTAGATGGGAGGAGCCATGGCTATCGCTTGTCCGGGGAAGTAGGGGTTGTAGTAAAGCCCCTCCCGCATAGTCACGCCCCCTGGGGGGTCGCAGTAGCCAGTGAGGAGGGAGTAGACGTAGTCTTCGCCCCCGTGCCTGAAATGGAAGGGCGGTGAGGGCCCAGCTTCTCCAAGCCTCTCCTCTGCCTGGCAGTGCCAACCGCCCAGTTGTGCCCCAGCCCCTCCTCAGGCGGGACTACCTGGCTTTGAGAATGAGGGTGAGGTCAGGAGGCAGGGCCCCGTTGTTTGCTGCCCGTGCCGCTTCAGAGTTGGGGTAAGGGTCGGGGAAGCGGTCAAACAGCTTGCCAGGCCGCATATACATCTCGCCGTTTTCATTGGGTCCGTCCTGCACCTCCACCTAAAGGGCGAGAGGCCAGCCTCGCTGTGAACCCTCCATCTTCCCCAGAGGAGGAGCCGGCATTTGCCCTCCTTCATCCGTAACCACCTCAGCTCCCCGAGTGGGGTGGTGACGTGGCCACCAGTCCTACCGCCAACCACTCGAAGACGTGAACCAGACACGAGGCAGTCCGGAGCAGCGCCCACGCCATGCCAACTAGGGTCATCTCCCTGTGGTCCAGTTCAATCCTGCTGCATGCTTTGCTTACCTCCGCAGCCAGGGCCTTGGCTTCCTCTTCAGTGTGGGTAGCACCCACAAGATTGCGAAAGGACATGTACTCCATGCTGTGGCAAGCGGAGCACACCTGCTTGTACACCTGGTACCCACGCCGGACACTGTGGACACAAACGTTTCCATCAGGCCACGAGCCTCACAAGGCAGCGCTTACAAACAAGGCAGCCATTGAAACCACAGAAACAGGGAGCCGACAGGCAAGCACAGGAACCGAGGAACGTCCGGCTTCCACTCTTGGGGAATGGCTGTGCCCAAGACCAGGATTCCTCTGAGCTGGCCTGGGATGCCCAATGCCAAAAGAGGGAGGCAGCCGGGCCAAGCAGGGATCTCAGAGATGACCGTCTGGACTAAAGGCAGACAGAACGCGGGTGCAGGAGCAGCAAAGGAAGTGGAGCCAGCTATAAAGTTTTTCCCTAAGTGCCATCAGGCGGGACGGGACAGGGCGTGAAAAGAGACAAGGCCTGGCAGCTGCTTCCTATCAAGAGGAGGCAAAACAGACTCCAACAGGACTGCCAGCCCTGCCCTCTTGGGCCAGGACACCACGTACCTGCTGTGGTCCAAGGCAGTCAGGATGCCACCGTGGCTCCAGGGGTAACTGGGGGCATGAAGCTCCAATTCCGAGGCATTCACAGCTCTGTGAAGGGCCCAGGCCAGCCCTGCCCCACCGACTGTCAGAACGCCCAGAGCGCTCAGGGCTACCCTCTTGCCCCGGGAGAGACCCGCCAGGGACGCCACGTTGGCCTGCAGAGAAAGGCAACTGAGTGAATCTCCTGCAAGGGAAATGGCGCCTTGCTCCTCCAAAGCGAGCAGGACGTCCTCGGAGGACACACACACGAGATATACTGCAGAGTTCCCACGTTGATAACACAAAACTCTGACGGAATCCTTCTGCACAAATCAGGCCAGAGCAGCGTTTCTCTACTTTGGCAACTTGAAGATTGGGGGGGGGGCCTCCCAGAACCCTCCAGGAAAGCTGGCTGGGGAATTCTGGGAGTTGGTCCCCCCATCTTCAAGCTGCCCAGGTTGAGAAAGAACCGGCTGGACAATTCAGATATCCAACGTGCCACTTCAGCGACTGGGGTCGCCCCACCCTCTTGGCCAGGGAGGAGGGTTGGGGGCACCGGCCTCCCCTACAACAACGCGCTGGGCTGCAAAAAACTGTCATGGGGGAGGCGTGGGGGGGGCACGACCTGCTTTCCGATCTCCCATCCATCCCCCTCGGAGCACTTCAGGGCCGGGAAGAAGCTGCCCCCCCGGCCTCTCTGCCCTTCCAGGGGGGGCCTGGAACGGGCTCTCCCGCAGGGCCGATCCGGAGCGGCCCGACGGGCGAACGGGCTTCGTTCGGCCGCCCGCGGGGCTTCCCGGGGGAGCCTCCCCCCCTTCCTCCCGGCAGCCGGTCCGGTCCCTCGCCGCAGTGCAGCAGCCGGGCTGCGCCATCGCCGGGCCCGCGGGCGACGGGGCAGCAGCAGCAGCAGGAGGCGGCGGCGGGGGGAGGTCTGGGGGGTTGGGTCGGGGGGGGGCGCCCGGCGCCGGAAGGAAGGGCCGCGGCCGAGCGGGGTGACCGTGGGGCAGCCGGCGGGACCGAGCCGGGACCGAGCGTGGGGAGCCGCGCGCGCGCCGTCCCGGGCCGCCTGGCCATACCCGCGTCTGGGGTCCGCCGGGCAGGGCCGGGACCAGGAAGCGCCCCCGGGAGCGCGCCAGGCTCCGCGCCGCCGTCGCCGCCGCCGCCACCGCAGCCATCTTGGGGCGAGACGAGCTAGACAGCTCTCCCACCAGGCGCCGCGCGGCGGAAGTCCGGCCCTCCGAGCGACGCCCTCCCGGATGCGGCGGGCTAGAGCGGCGCGGCACCTTCGGGCCTCCCCGGATGGAGCAGGCAGACCTACGAATCAGTTAGAGGAGCGCTCCCTCCGCCTCTTCGTGGGCCCGCAGCGATCGCAGCTAACTCCGGCTGGATTGGTGGAGCGGTCAGCGGCGCCGAGAGGGAGGGCGGGACCGGAAGCGCTCAATCCATCAATCAGAACAGATGGGACGATGGGTGGAGATCCTGGACCATTTCTGACAGGTGGCTGTCAAATCTCTTCTTAATAATCTCGAGTGATGGATTTCGGCTTTCCTGAAGGATCAATCTCAAGAGAAGTATGTTGTGGTATGGAGGAAATGGATAGATTTTATACAACACAAGATGGATATTAAAAAATATTATTTAGCTTTTTAATAATTTATATTGAAAAGCCAAACTTTTTTTCCCTTTTTTTATTATTATTTTCTTCTTTCCTCTTTTCTATTTCTTTTTTTTAAATATATTACCTCTAATTATTTTATAACTTGTCCAAGTAATGTATTTAGATTTGTTTATAGTTTTATAACTTATATTGAAAAGTTAATTTTCTTTTCATATTTTTTATGTATTTCTTTTTTTCTTCTTCTTTTCTGGTATTTATGTTTTTCTTTTTTTATATATATATTGTTGTTAATTATTTAGTAATTTGTTTAAGTAATGTATCTAGATTTATTTATATTTTATACTTTTCTTAAGATTTTTTGAAGAAACTCTAATTAAGCCTATATCCAGCTCTGGGATAGTCGGGGGAGGGAAGGGGAGGGTTGGGGAAAATTGTTTTGTTTTTGTATTGTAAAATCTTATAAATTTTCAATTAAAAAAAAATCTCAAGTGATGGAGCAACCACTTCTGGTGGCAAGCAGTTCCACTGGTTAATTGTCCTCACTGCTGTTAGGAAGTTTCTCTTTGATTCCAGGTTGCTTCTCTTCTTGCTTAGCTTTCTTTATTCATTGTTTCTTGTCCTGCCTTTTGGTG